CCTAAGAAACTGTGAATTGTGAGCCAACAGCTTTTTGACAAAAATATCTTGTCAAATATCTTTAAAGTATTTTAGGGGAGTCCCCTCTGGAAAGAAGAGAGAAACTCACAAGCAGCAACAAGAGATTTAATGAGAAGGGCAGAACTTGTGCAAGGTAAGTATCTTGAATTCTATATTGCTACAGTACTTTGGGAGGGAGAGGGCAGATGTCCTGGTTGCAAAAATAGAAAGGGATTAGAGTTGGCTGTGTGAGAACTGACAGCCATAAATGCAGTGGGGAGCAGCAGGCCAGCTTATTCCTTTGGTAATACTCCACCCTAGGCATCATCCAACAGGGACACACAGGCCCTGCTGGGGTACAGGGTGTGGAGAAAAAGCATTTAACCATTTCAGGTAGAACAGGAACAGGGAACAGTGACTCTTTGTAAAGTTAATGTGGCAATAAAAACATCTACATTTTAAACTTCCAGTTTAAAACCAAGTACCATTGAAAGTTTGGACCATGCATTATTTTATCCCTCCTAAAACACTCTAATGACCATGAGAAGCTACCTGTCTCTTTAAGATAATTTTGTATCTTTATATATTTCTTTATCTAAGAAAATATGAATTAATATTTAAGGTAAATTAGACGTTGCTTTGGTTTAGTATCTGTGGTATGGCTCCAGCTGTAATAGTTGTGTTGCTCCATTTGCAACAACAACAAAAAAAGAGGGAATTCCCGTTTTAAGGAACGCTGCTTTGCAGGAATGTGCACAGAGTTAAGGAATTAATTCTCCTGTGTCCTTCACTAACTCAGCTACAGAAATGTGCCAAAGTACCCTGTGTGAGGCTTACAGAGGTGGCATTTGAACATTAGGTCACAGTTCTAAAAGATGTCACATCCACACACCTCACAGTGATTGATAAAAACATACTTCAACTAACAGGTGTTGTACAGCGACTCAGAAACAAAACAAATGCTCTGGAGGAAATCTAAGCAGATGTAACAAGTGGAAGCAGCCACACCTGGCTGTGTGTACTTTCTTTGGGCTGTTTGTGAATCCTTCCACGGTGACTGTGGAGAGTGGGTTCTAAGGTGATCAAGTGTGCTAAAGCCAAAGTGTGTTAAAGCAAAACACGTTTTTCTTAAGAACAGAAAAAAATGTCAGCACCAAGCTACAAGACCAACTCCTGAAGCCATTCTCTAAATTGTTTCTGACCTTCTGGGCATATCTGTGTTTGTTTTCCTGGAAATCTCTTGCTTTTTGAACTATCCCTGTCAGCAGGGAGAGCTTTCACCGTATCTTTTCTTGCCTGGGTACTGTGACATGCTTGCAACTATGAAAAGCAACCCTCTCACCTTTAAATACAGAGACATGGAAGTCTGAAAAAGAGATGCTATTATCCCTTTCCAACACACCACCAAACTTCCTGTGATCATATTTACTGGGTTTGTACACAATTGTTCTTGTTTCTTTTCAGATGCAACAATTTCTGCTGCCAGCACGATGATGATTTAAAAAAGAAACTTCTGCTAAATTCTGGTCCATGATCTCATATTCTTTTCATTCTCTGAAGGAGCACATGCACTCTAACTTGGCAGATGTACACCCACTGCCAGTCTGATTTCTGTCTTTCACCTAAACACTGGAGGTAGCCAGCATCCATGAGGAAAAACACCGATAGGGATGAAAGGTAGGCTGCAGGAACAACAGTCAGTCAGTCACAGGGATGTTTTAGGGGACAATGAATCAGAGCACACTGGCAATGGATGCCATGGGATATGTGCTGTTCGGATATTATGTCAGTTTCTGCAAACAAAACCAAGCTTTTTTGGATATGTGGCTACTCTGAGTTTCCAGTTTCTCTCAGAAAAAAAATCGCTAAGAAATTCCCTGGAATCTGGGCCCCAGATAGGGTGATGGGGTAGAGAAGAGGAGGGTAAAGAAAGGGGTATAAGGTGCTCACACCAAAGCCATGTGACCAATGCAAAGGTAGTCAGGAAAAAAAGCAGATTTTTATAATAAATAAACCATCCAAGCTGCATTAGTGTTCCAGATATGTACTCAACAAGACCCTCTCCCAACCACAAACCAGCAAGAATGGGACATGAAAACTCATTCAGACAGCTAATGGCACAGTCTCCTGGAACTGTGGAGAGAGGATTTTCCACTGATTTAAGGCCCACCTTTCTTTGTGTTTCCTAGATATCTGCAAGGACCACGCCCCCCACCCACCACAAAACCCTTGGGAGGAGGGAATCCATCCGAGACGAGCCCGGTGGTCTCCCCCCAGCAAAAAAAGCTTCCTGATAAATTGTACTTTTGCACAGGCGTGAAAGTAAGCAGGGACTTTCAGAGTCAGGAACAAACGCTACAGCTGCGGTTTTCCCCATCCTCTTACCTCACCCAAAACAAGCCCAAGGACTTGCATTCCTTTGGTAGAAACTACAGACCGTGCTGTGGCCTCCAGACCAGCACAGTGGGTACCAGCATCTTCTCTTCTACTTTTTCCCTACCTCCCTGAAGCTCACCCAGCTGTACCTGTTGCTGCTCTGAAGCTTTTGCTGTGGGCCATTGCCATTTTTGCAGTATTATTCATAGCCCTAAAAGTCTCCTGCACAGCCTGAAGACGTAGAGACGTATCAAAAATACAGAGATTCATCTATACTGGGGGGATAAAGGTGAGACCTCTTGGATAACAATCCTCTGACACTGCCATTCTATTTACACATCAAATAAAAGAAAACAAATTAAAATCAAGTTCAGAGTCTGCCCCAAGGATAACACAAATTACCAACCAAAAAAAAAAAAAAAAGATTAAAAACAAGCAGCAACTTTTATATAAAATTAATAAAAACAAAAGACAAATGAAAAAGAAATTGTCAGTAGCATCTATCGCCTCTCTGCATCTGAACTGCACTTACACAAACTAGTCCATTAGTACAGCAGCTTGCTAGAAATTGACTTTGGTTCAAGCTTAGTTTTAAAAAAATAAAACATAAAAAAATCAAAAACACATAAGAAACGGTGGACGGACATTTGTTAGTTTCCCTGCTTGCAGTTCACTAGTTCTGAAGTTTTAGGGGTAATTGGTTTAAATATCAGTAAAACAGGAAGGTGGAGAGTTAGAGATGAACAGAGCAAAACCATGGTGGTGGGGGGAGAGATAAGGGGTTCTGCCACTTGAGTGCAAACACAACTCCCACATGCTCAGGCCACAGACCAGACCATGTGTGCAGTTTAAAGTTGCTGCCTTCTGGATCTTGGATGAGAAGCTCCAGGATCCCCCTGAATCATCAACAAAACGAACATAGCTGCATCAGCTCATTAGTTTAGGACACTCTGGTGACAAAAGAAAAGGGGGTGGGTGGGAAAGGGACTCTTCTAATACCCTTACTAGCTAAAAGTAATTTAGTTTTGTACACATGGCAGAAACCTTTAAATCCATCAGGAATGGAAAGTTTAACGTGAACTGCATTGCAGCGATCCAGTCTTCTCTCTTTAAAAATCTTTTTTCTTTTTTGGTTCAGACATTGGATTGTATATTTAAGAATATACGGATCTAACTTCTGTACAGTTCATTACTCCTTTCCTCATCCACAAAAATATCCTTTGCTCCACAGATCAGAATCACCCTTAAAGAGTGAGTTGCAGTGCCAGGCCTGGCCAGAGGCGCCGATAGCCGCGCTCACCCTGCAGCTCAGAGACCACACGAGATCAGCCCGGGGTGTGCAAGGCCCCAGAGTGGCTCTGTTGTGTTGGCATTAACAATGGCACCTTCTGTTCCCATAGTCCTGGCTCCTGTCTTTTGCAGCCAGAAGCACTTTTTGTTTTATTAGGAAGCTCTTCTAAATAGTGTTGGAAGCATCAGAAAAGGAATATTGCTATGAATGGGGAGAATGTGACCTTCTGAAATCTGGTACCGACTCACCTAGAGGGTGTCTAGGACTCTAGATGCTGCTTTACATGCTGCCAATTAGCCTGGGTCATGATGGTTTTTAAGTATTTGTGTGTGCTTTTGCACAGCAAAATGAAATCTATGGAACAGAAGAGCCATCAGTATTGTCACACAATCCACACTCGGGAGGTCACATCCTGCTCTCTGGAGTAAAAGGAACCAAGCACACAAGGCTAAGAGCAGAATTTGGCTGTTTTGTCTAAATATTTGAGAGGAGAAGAACGGCAGTTTGGAGTAAATTCCTACCTCTGCTTACCAAGCAGAGACCAGCTGGAAGTTTGCACACAATGATCTCTGCTGCTGCTCTGAGCTTCCTGCACAAATGATGAATATAAATTCTTCTGATCCCTACAAGTAGGCATTAGACAAATTCAAGGATGAGGAAACTGTTCAGAACATTTCCAGAAGATTAGGATAGAAAGTCTATTTGTGCTCCATTCTTCCTCTCCACCCCCCCACCCTCCCCCCATGGTGTGGGAGCTCGCTGAAAATAATCCAGGAGCAAAAGACAAACGCGTCCAAACTATATATATAAAAATAATAATAATAATAATCATAATAATAATAATAGAGATACACCAGTAATACAGGCCTGCCTAAATTGTACCAGTTAAGAAAGGAACCCCCAACATGATTGATACGATTATAAACACCTTGTATGACATAATGGCCTGTACAACAGACCTATAAAATGATAATTAAAAAAGAAAGATATTTAGACCAAAAAAACCAAGAAATCCCCTTCCTATGTTTGAACTGATAACCCACCTTAACTTGTCATTGTGACTGCTGGAAATGATAAGTAGTCCTTTCACTTTTTTTGTGTTTTTGCGGTTTTTAGTTTTTTTGTGGTTTTTTTTTTTTTTTTACATTTTTGGTTAGAAAGTTCTCCGATCCATGAAGCGATCCTGAAAAGACAGTGTTTATTATAAAATTAGGCAAATGTCTGTCCCAGCTTTAAATCCTTCCTGTTTTGCTTTTGTTTTTTTTTTTTCTCCTTTTTTTTTGGTTTTTTTTTTTTTGTTTCGTTTTTTTTTAAATATTTTTCCTTCTCTCTCTCTCTCTTTCTCTCTCTCCCTCTTGTCCCCAGCAACACGGTGAGAGGATGCCCACGGCATTTTCAGTCCATCGACCGGGCTGGCAGCCGATCCCAGCGCACAGTGACCCAGGCTGCTGGAGCAGAGCCCAGCCCGGCTCACTGTGCCTTGGAGGCAGTAGTGGTGGTGGACGTGGCCCCGCTGGCAGAGGCCACTGTCAGGAGAGAGTTCTGGATGGACTCGGCTGAGGTGGAGGTGGCGTGAAGGCTGGCGACTGGTCCAGAGGCCCCTGCGGAGGCTGCAGCTGCAGAGACCAAGCTAACTGGGTTGCTGGTGAGCAGAGAAAGGTTCTGAGGGTTCAGGAACAGAGGGGCAGTGACGATGTTAGGGGTACCTCCAGCATTGGCAAACACCAAGTTTCCAGTTGCATCCAGTGATGTTATTGGAAGAGAGCCACCGGATGCAAGAGCTAAAAACAGGGAAAGTTGAGCAGGGAGGAGATAACGTTAACAGTAAGCAACAATGCAAAATGAGCCTAAAAGCAAGGGGTCTCTGCATTTGCCTTTCTCTGATGCGTGTGCTCTCTAAATCGCTTGTTTGAGATCTTGCAGATCCTAAAATGCATCTTTCATTTGCTGCTAAACTAATTCCACTGTGCCTTTCCTCAGCTCTTTTAGTACGATACTGGTCTATGTTTTCTGCCACAGAGAGTCTGTGCACCCAGCCAACTTGCACTGGGAAGGGTTGAGATGAGGGTTCACGTGAAATGACAGCTATCACAAGATGGAGAAGGTCATGTAACCTTGAGTGTAACATTTTAAATGTTGACATATAACCAACCACTGTTACAACTTACTCTCATGGGTCTACAGTGTTCAGTCTGCCTTAGATTATGATCTCCTAAATTTATCTGTGACACTTTATGAAATGGTTCTTTCTTGCAACCTAGAAACAAGATTTGTTCAGCTAGTTTAGAGGATATTTGAACACACAGGTTTTACCTAGCTCTTTAGACACTTGTACCATCCAGTTTTTACGGGTGGCAAACTATGAACAACTCTTGCTGAAGCCAGAGGTAACTTTTGCCTTTGTGCTACTTCCAAAACAAATAAATATATCCTCTTCTGAATGTGGATTTATGTATTTCAAGTTCTCCGTAAGGATTTCAGGAGGCAGAATGTTTGTTGCAGGTTCTTTTCTAAAACATATGAAGACAAGAATTCAGGATCAAGATTTGCTCAGAACTGCCCTTCCCAGAGACCTCAGAATGGTGCAGGTCTGCTCAAGCAGACTACAGAAGAGCTATAAAAAGCAAATCTCTAACCTGCTAAAGACACAGGCCAATGAGGCAAGGACAACAAAATAAATTCCAGATTGACTTCAGTATCTTAAACGCCTCCTTTAAATCATACACAGCTCTGATTCCCTATCAGAAGTTGTACCTGCTCTTATCTCTGTGACCCACAAAATGTATTTGCACATTTAATTTTTTTTAAAGCCTTTACTCCTACAGAATTTATGCCTAGTGCTGAGGAGTCAGTGCTCTCTGGTAGACAAAATAAGAGTGCATAAACTGAAGTTGTGTGATAGAGATGCATTAAAAGGAACACTACTGACCTTGAATAGTTGCCAGTGTACTGTTGCTCATCAGGGCCGGGCTGAGAGCACCACCTAATGTCCCTGGATTGAGACTGAGTAAGGCACCTCTGCAGCAAGATCATGGAAGAAGTGGGAAAGAGAAAGAGTGTTACTTTTAAGAAAAGGTTGTCACTGTTCAAAAGTACACCATCATATTTTTAAAAAGGGGGAAGGGCAAGGAGGGTGAAAAGACCAGAGATCAAGGGCTATTTTTGGATTATTTTACCTTTTAACTCCATGAGGGGTTCATGACATGCCCAAAGTACAAGCACTGTAAATACATTACTTGCATTGTTGGTGTAAAATGTTCTTGTAAAGTATTTTGGGAAAACTGTTAATTGTTAGAGAACTATCATCCTCTCCCAAATGCAGATAAGAAATATGTAATTCAAGAGGAATTAAACATCTGTCTGAGCAACATTTCTAAAACTGTAACTTCGACAACACATCATTTTCCATTTTTAAGAACTTCTTGCTCATGATGGAGAAATGAACAGAGAGGTGTGAAGTGGGTCTAGGTTATCTCTCCATTTTACAATTAATAGAACAGATTCTATGGTTCAGTGCTAAGTTGCAGTTTTTAAGTCAAGCTCTGCAGTGGGATGAATGATTTATCAAACAACATCACTGCAACACAGCTTTTTCACCTTTAAAATGAGCACAGTATTTGTGTACTGTGATGGGAATGGTCCATTCCCATCTATGAGTAAACCGTCAGAATCTGAGATAAATGACAGCGATACAAAAAATCAATTTACCCCAAGAATTTTCCTTCACTCTTCTATCACCTAAAAGGGTGTGCAAAATGGATCCTTACCCAGCTGCAAACTGCGAGGATGCCATCAAGCCTGGGTTTAGCCCTGCTGCAGCAGCCATGGCAGCAAGACTTGCATTTGCAGGCAACTGTGCAGCTCCTTGTAAGGCGGCCGCTGCCGCTGTTTGCAACCCTGACGCCGTTACCATCACCTGGCTGGTCCCGAGAGGGGAGGACAAGGGGGTGGAGGTTGTCTGTGTTGTGCTGGTCTCACTGGCACTGGAGGCCTCGGAAGTGGAGGCTGAGGCAGAAGGGGAAGGGCTCGGGGCGGGTGATGTCACTGCCGAAGAAGCCGGAGGTGCTGTTGAAATCACTGTCGCCGTGTTGTTGGAGGTGGTTTCTGTTGTGCCTGGAAGAATGGTTCTGGTCAGACCAGTACAAAACAGGGACACCAGACGAGAGAAACCCCTGCCCACCTGATCTCAACTGCATGTCCAGCTGGAAGGGGCACAAGCACGCATTTCTGTAGTACCAAGAGTTCAAACGAAAAAATGAAATTACACTTCCCAATGCGGGGGGCTGAGGAGCTCCAGAAGTCAGCAATGAAATACAGTATATTTTGTTTCAGCACCACCTGTGGTTTTATTCCTGGAAAAGTCAACTCAGTGGTCACAAAAACTGAAGCTTCTTAGTGCAGCAACAAGGAAGGATGACAGGAATGTCCTGGGATAGCAGTGACCAATAGTGAATGACTCTTTTAAGAATTCAAAAGGGACAAACGGCAGGGGTTGATGTGGTGGCAGCAGAGATCAGCCCTTACCTGTGACTGACAGACTGGTGACAGCAGGACTGGCCAGAGGGAGCACGGGGTTGACAGTCAGGGTTGTAGCTGCACTGCTAGTCACAAGGCTTGGCGTGGTTGCCACCTGGAGGTCAAAACCGAATAAAACTGCTCAGCTGCTCAAAGGCAGAGTTACACACTAGACCTTGATTTCTTTCTTTCCATCCTCAGCTGAGGAAGTTATCAGCAAAAACACTGCATATTAACTAATTTTTTTTTGTAATTTGGTTACTTATCACTCAATGAAACAAACATAGCATCTTCTCTAATTACAAGCAGTATGTTTATTCCTAATAACTCAGTACTTGAAAGCAGATACATCCCTATCCATATTGTCTCAAGACTACAAGTTGGCCCTCTCTGCCACCCCACAAAGACAGCACCTTGTTTTAACAGAGACACTCTTAAGAAGGAGTTACAAAATATATTATTTCTACTTTTTTTTCTTGTTTTAACATCTTTTCAGCTCCAAATCTTTCTCTGACAAAATTATGTAAATGCCCCAGCATTAATAAAGGTATTTAGAATAGTGTGTTTATATGGAGCAGCAGAATAACATTTCACTTTTATTCAACCAAACTATAAGCTTTACTTTGATAAGCTTCCTTGTGCCAGAGGAAGGATCCCTGAATTTTAAAACATACAAATGGATTTTTCAATCGTGGATGGCTTATTACAAGAAAGCTACAATAAACTGAAGACATTACAGACAAACACCAAAGATTTAAGGTTGGAGAAACCAGCTTATAAGGAAAAATGAAATATAAGGAAAGGACTTTTTATGGACAAGAAATGGTGTCCAGCAGTAATATTTGAAGGCTGTTATACATCAATGAGAGAAATGAATCCTTTAGAATTGCCCAAGAGAACATAGCCAAGGATATAGGCTAAACATTCCTCCTTTCCAATCTCTTACCTTAAGTCTATTATCAGAGAAATATCTCTCCAGCCTCTTACAGGGAATCAAATGCTTCACGCATTTTAAACAAGACTGGGGCAACTGGGACAGATCTGAAAGCTTTCTGCCCATCTCAAACAGTGTATGAAATTAAGAGGAGCTGGATGCACAGTACACCTCCCACTAATGCAGTCCAGCCACCACATCTGTCATCTGTCCAGCAAGCAGTTAAGGCCAAGGTCACCATCCCTATTTCAGGGCAGAGAATGACCTGGAATTAATACAGCTCACCCCCGTGGTTCCAGTGAGTGACTCCAGCCAATGCAAGAGGAGGCTGCCCCCAAAAGGAGCCTTCCCCTCCAATCCTGCTGCAGAGCCCTTGCCCTCGTGCAGCCAGGCTGCAAGTCACACTGGCTATCTAACCACACTGAAAATTCATCATTGCTCCTCACGTGGCTAATTTGCAGTCAAACTACTAAAGTAAGCCCAAGCATCCTATGGACACAATCTCTAGAGCTGACACAAGGAATCAACAAAGCACAGTCAGTGAAGGCTGGTGGCAGCAGGGCTGGAACATCCATTTGAGTAGCAGCACAGTATTAAGAGAGGCTTAGAATGAGTGAAAACACTGGTGAAACTTCACTGATGAAAGGGAGACTGTGGTTAACACCTCAATTTCTCATATACAATGGCAGATTATAGCAACAGGAAAATTTCCCTAGGAAAGCTCCTTTAAGTTGCAGTCTGAGAGAACTTGCACAGTTCCTAAAATATACTATCATAAATCTCACTATATTCTGCTTCGGTAGCAAGGCATGCAACCTTGCTTTGAAACTGGGCAAAAAAAATCCCAAACCAAAATAACAATAAAAAGGACTAGGTACACTTAACACAGCCCTTCCCCTGAAACAAAAGGTTGCATGCACACACCCTGAGACAAGGATGAGGGGAGAGAATAACACGTCACCAAAATTAATGGTTTAATGAAGTACTGGAAGATATTAGCTACTACAGTGATGAGGGTGGAATAAATACTACAAAAGGACAGCTACAGGCTACATAAATTCCACCACATTCCTATTAGCATAGCTACTATGAAATCTAATAGCTACTGTTTCTATTTATGAAAACAGACCTCCATGGACATTGGTAGCAAAGGTGCTGAAGGAACCTTGATGCATGTGTTTTGTTACTCTTATTTTCATGAAGTTTGTGTTTACCTGAGGTAAATACAAGTGTGGGAAATTAATTACATGAGTATTAGCTAAACTGTTCTTCTGTTCCATGCCTTTCTTTTATATAAATAATTTCTGACTCGAAATAACAACAATGGTATCGTTGGATTTGCGTAACCTAAGTCTCCAAATGATACAGAATCAAAGGATGAGTAAGTCTGGAAGGGACCACAGTGGGTCCTTGGGTCCAATCTCCCTGCAGGGTCAGTCCTAGAACACATGGCACAGAATTGAATCCAGATGGTTCTTGAGTAACCCCAGTGAGGGAGACTCCACAGCCTCTCTGGGCAACCTGTTCCACTGCATGACACATTTTACTGCTGCTCATTTACTGACCAGAGCTGCTAAAATAAGAGGTGGCTGAGAGAGCTAATAAGCACTTTAAAAAAATAACAATTATTTTATAAAAATTGTGGATTTTTTTATTTTAAAAATTGAGTAAAAGAAGGAAAGTCCAGATATAAACTGGAGGCATTATCTGAAGTAAGTTCAAAGCAACAACCTCAAATGCAAATTTGGTAGTCAGAATATTTGTTCATGAGCTGACTAAATAAAACACCCTCACTGAAGGGCTGACTAATGCCTGATTTGTCAGCATTATCCCTCTTAGACAGTATCCAGGTGGAACACTCAAAATGCCAGTAAAACATAAATATGTGAGAAAAGTCTGCTGTACAAAGAAGGTGCAGCACGTGTAGCTTCCACAGTGAGCACAGCAGGACTACCTCCACCAGTGATCTTTGTCAACACAGCTCTTGACTCTTACCAGTGAGGTTGGACAAGGGAAAATTGCTTTGATGGGCGAGCTGCTGGTTCCACCACTGCTGGGTGGGTTGATCCTTTTCTCCTTCTGGCGCCGGTTACAGAACCAAACGCGGATCACCTCCTTCTCCATGTTTAGCTGGTCAGCTATCATGGCGATCTCATCCGAGGTAGGCTTTTGGTTCTGACAAAAGAAAATGGGATTTCAAAAGCTCTGAAATTACCTCCTGAAGTTTTGCATCATAGTTTCTTCTCCAGTAGGCAGAAATCTGAATTAGTGATTTAGATCCAGAATCTGGTCAGTGGTACTGTAGAGACAAACCACAGTAGATGCTTCTGCCCTCCATGTAAAAACCTCAAATTATGTGTGCTTAGATTATTGCCTCATTTATCCATCCTCATGAAGGGTACTATTTCAACCTATGTCTGAGTATAGTGGAATGCAAAATCACAACGTCAGTGAAGTGCAAGAACCAGCGAGTTTTTCTGAGGGGGTTTGTGTTTGTTTCTAAAGTGAAACACATGTTCATGCACATTTCTTGGCATGGCTTTTGTATTCCCCTTGTTTAATACTAGCACTTTCCTAAACAGCACAGTAACGGGTTCATTCCAACACATAAAATTGTTAAGTGAAGTTTCTCCATTTTTCCTAGGCTGAGTAGAGCAGCAGGAGCACTGACCTCCAGGAAACTCTTCTCTAAGGCCACACGTATGTTGGTCTCTATGCTGGTGCGTTTCTTCCTCCTACGGTTCAAGCCTTCGATCCCTTGCCCTGGAGAATTCAGGGCACTTGGGCTGGAGAGAGTTGAATCAGATGAGAGGTTTTCTGAAAAAGAAGAAAGTAATACAAATCAGGAGATTTCATCTGAATGCAGTGCAGTCTAATGCAAGTGTTCTTCACCTGTGCAAGGTATGTTAAGACTTGCTCTGTATCTATTCCAAATACATAGAGGTTTATGAAGATCACATGCATTAATCATTGTATTTACAAATTACAACATATACCTGAAACTAAAAAACTACAAATATGCCCAGAGGATGCCCTCTGCTCCTGTATGCTACCACAGCATCCCTTTTACAGTACCTATACAGAGTTTGTCTCCCATATCTCATTCTACTCCCCACTGACTCACTGCACGCCCCAGTTTAAAGGAAAAAGGAGTACTTGATATCCGTGGGCCATAGCTGAAAGTCACAGGCAGTTATGAAAAAAGTCTGAGGAGCCTGAAATTTCTTCTACCCACTCTACAAAATACTCAAGAAAGAGAAGTCCATAACCAGCTCCACAGTGTTCAGTCTCTTCTCTCTGGACATCTTAGCAGACACTCAGGGCTACCAACCACTCTGCACAGCAAGCAGCTCCCCCTTCTTAACTTCACCAGGGCCCTTAACCCCTAATCCTGTCTTTCTGGCTTCACAGAGGAGCAGAGAGAGAACATTTAACCCCACTTTACAGCAGGAATCTAACCAAATGGCAAGTTTCAGCAGGGAATTTAAACAAAATGATTCATTGTGGCTGGAGTTCCTTCATTGCACTGGGGTTTGTGGGTGATAAGCAGGTGCCAAAGTTCACAATGCCCATGATTATTCTGATAGACTCAAATGGGCAAGTATTTTCTAGATTTTTAAAAACAGTAATGGCACCTACAAATATGTGGAAACTCTTCCTCATACAGAAAATTTCACTGAGAACCAGCTGAGTTCCATGGCAATAAATTCTGGAACCACTGGTATGCTTCTCCTGCCTACTTTTACCTAAAAGTAAAATAGAAGCTTCTAAAGTCACCTGAATAATTCTTCCAAAGATTTTCATGGAACTGAGTCAGAGCCAAAGACAATGGCTTGCAGGATGTGAAGAACCATGACACTGTTCACTCAACTTCAGAGAGACAAGTACAAGTATTTCTTCAGGATAGCAGGAGAAATAACCCCTATGACACTCCTTGCAGCACTGGACTTCTCCAATGTTGCTGGAAGGTTTGGGGATCACTGTCCTGTGGACTTGAGCACTCAGTGTGGAGGTATTTATGTTTTCTATCACAGACTTACAACACCTAATGATAACTCCTGTCAGCACAACAGAATGACACTTCCTTTTCTCAGTGCAGGACAAATTTTCAATGCTGCATGAAATTACTTTCAAAATTTCAGAGAATGTTGTAGGTGCCAGCATAAAGCTCTCTCCATTTTGGTAAAAATAGGAAGGCACACACCATCCCTGCCATCTGCTTAACATATCCATCAGTTTTATGCTATGCACAATTGCATACTTGGAAGAAAAATCTGGCTGACAGCACTCTCAAATACTTTCTCTCCTAACACCTAGCAGCACCACACAAGCTCCTTTTCCTGGTGGGAAATAAAAAAAAAAGAACACTACCAACACTGGCATAGTGAATAACTTGTATCCCAGAAAAAAGCTAATATGGGAGGAAAGAAGCACAACCTAACCCACAAAATCTCTTCCTACAGGGAAAAATATTATTTATCTGAACCACTGGAGAGAGATAAAAGGAATGCACACAGGGGTATGGAAGGAGATGGATGCAATAAGCTCTGCCTACTGAAACAACAAATCATGCAACCCTCTCTCTACTACACATCTGAAAAAGAAAGCTAGAAGAGGATTAGAAGTTATATGCATTAACATACACGAAGGAGGAAAACCATGACACATATTGTACCTCATCCCATGCAATGGTTCAGCTGTCTAGAGAACACACTTCTGAAAGTTCATATTGGAACTATTTTGGATGCATACAGGCACATGGAAAGGGAACTATGGACCCTTATTTCTACACCCTCATTTGTCCCATGGGCAGCTACGAAGGCCGGTAGCTTCATAAAACCATAAGGGCACAAACGAAGCAGCTTTTCAAGACCCTACTGATTTTGGTAGGCTGGTGAAGAAATACACAGACTCATTCACCTGCATCATTGAGCCACTTTTCCAGAAGTGGCTTTAACTTGCACATGTTCTTAAAGCTGAGGTTCAAGGCTTCAAAGCGAGAGATGGTAGTTTGGCTGAAGTCATTTCCATAGAGTTTGCCCATAGCGAGCCCAACATCACCCTGGACAAAGAAAGAGAAAAAAGGGATTCACTGACATAGGCACTTCCAAAGCAAGGAATCCTGTCACATTCTGGTGTTGTCTTAGTGACACCACTGCTGTGTGGGATTGCAGTTTCACACAGGCTTTCTCAGCGCTACCAAGATTCATGCTAAAGCAATAATCATAAAGAAATGTCAAACCTCAGTCAGTTTAACCTTGCAACTCTTTCCAGGAAATCCCTGATGCTTTGTCTTCTTAGCATTACCACTGAGCAGCACATTCCACTAAATGTTAACTTGTAATTTTTTTCTTAGTTTTTTAAAATAAGTAAAGGCCAACCTCTCTTTGGGAGTAGATTTAAGTTTTTCTGCATATTTCACACTGGAAGTTCAAATACGCAGAAATGCAATGAATTTACTTTCCCAAATTTGTAGAAAATACTCAGGACAAGATGTCTGCAAACATACATCACATTTAAATAGATGCAGAAATATTTTTATCTGAACTGCAAGTATCTTCTGAGGTTCAAACCCAATTTCTCCCCAATAGATACAAATTTCAAAGCAGACAAGAAGTTGAACCATTTCAAGTAATGATTAACTGCAGTCTTGACTATCATTACCCATCTGCCAGAAAGCTATCCAGGAGATTTACAGGCAGATTACCAACTCTTTACATCCGTTATTGCTTTCTAAATTCAGTTTTAGCTAGCTATTCTGCTAGCAGACATTCTGCTTATCCTAATATTTATGTATATATTATATAGCTGTGTAAGTATACACTTGAAAAGTGGTGTTTAAAAAAAAAGAAATCAATCCATTCTTGATTGTGGCCATTAAAAACACCATAGTATTTTCATGATTTGCTTTAAAGCTGGAAGATCTTGCCCTTTGGGGGAAAAAAAAAGCACTTATATTTCAAGTATACTACTTCTAAAGCAGCTTTATTTAGATTTTTACTTTTTTAAGCACAAAACGAAGTATGAGAAGTGTGGAAGAAGAGGCTGAAAAGCTGGAGCACAGTTAGTGGAGTTTAATTGCAAATGGGTTAGTTGGACTGGGCATAAAGCTCGCTTTTCTCTGAGGTCAGCTCCACAACCACAGCTGGGTATGAGTACACTGACAGCATGCAGAGTGGCCACACACAAGCCAGGAAGAAAACAACCTTTGGGAAGCTTAGTAAATTGTGCAGGTTGAGCAAAGAAAACAATTTCCTTCCTAGAAAAGGACCAGAACAATTGGTTTGTGTGCCCTTCAATCAGAGGAAACACGTGGGAACTCACATTTATGCCTCTACTCATATGCCAGGATTCTGTGCATTTTAAAACTCATAAATCATTCCAAGAGGAGTAGCGTGGATGCTCTTCTAGGTTTATGAAGAAGAAAACCTGGCTATGTAAACCATTTTAGAGATAAGTTGATTTATGTCTTGGCAGGAAAGAGTTATGAAATTTGCTCCAGTCCCCCAACTAAATTTAATTCTGGACTTATGTTGTTCTTACAAACATTTGCCTTCTGATTTAAAATGAATAGTTAACCATTTCTTTGTCAATGCCAAAAGGTGGCAGCATTTCAGCTGCAGGCAAAGGAATTTACATATTGGGATGAGAATTTTATATATTGGGATGGCCCACAGATAGGATGGAACAGAGTATAAAGGCACTGAATACACATCTGATCTACTCTGTAGGCTGACTGAAGCTCTGGTAATGAACTGCAACTGATTATAAGGTGCATCATTGTTGTGTGTACTGGTCTGTTAAGAAGCTCAGATGGTCTAGCAGAGGCAATACCTTTCTTTCACAGAATAAAAATAACATTTTCTAAAATGTTCACTCACGTCTCTTGAACCTGTACTGAGCAATTAGTCCCAGGCCTGCAATGATGCTAAGGTGCAGTTTGCTCATTGTGTTCCTGTGTGTCAAACATGGGGGCATTTTTAAGGAAAACAAACAAAGGGATTTAAATGCATCGCCCACATTTCAGGGTGGGAGAAGAAGCAGAACTGCTGAAATTCAAAACCTGTTTTATTGTTCACACGACAGAATGTAGTAAGTGATTAGTTTGCAATGCAAACTAAATCTTACAATTATTTTTGAAAGGCAGGGGTGGGGTGAGTCTGAAAAAGCTTACAGTACTGCTGGAAATAAATTTCTTTTATCCTCTGAAAGGCAGTCTATTTATCCAACTATAGGAAACCAAAGTAATCAGGGTCTCTAATTATCATCCAATTATGCAATTAGGTTAAAGTTATTAGAACAGCCTAATTACACACATACAAACTCAGAGCAGGATAGGAATGACCGAATGCAATTTTATCACATTCTCAAGATTCCCCTTTTTTAATCTGAAAAGCAAATACTAAAATGTAAGCCTGAGCAGTTGTGTTCATTTTTCCTCACCATGAAAATTCATAACCAGGTCAATAAAGAAAGGCTAACACATAGCTTAAAAAGTCTAGTTGAGCTTTTATAATCATCTCACAGCAGGGCAGATTAAACATAATAATGAGAGATCTACACGACCCTCCTCTGTCAGGCTATAGGGAAGCTATTGTATTTTACCCTATTCTGTGCTGCTCTACTCGAGCTTTTGTGTGTGTCCATCACTTGTATTTCTGTGCCTCCCTCTAGTGGAAAGAAAGGAGGGAAGGAGACACACATGCCAGCAAAACGCACTTCATTTGACTAAGAACATTCTGTTCTTGACTTATAATTATGATGCTGCCAGGAATTCTCATTATCAACTTTGATTTTTCAATTTAGGACTTTGCCAGAAAAATAAATCTGAATTCAGCACATACTTTCAGCTAGAGTAGATTTACTTATTCTACTCCATCACATAGGTTGGACTGACTGCTCTGAGCTCAGACTTTTAAATACTTTGATATTGGCATGCTCTTTCTTCTAGCAAAATCATGCTTATGTTTAACCATGGACTCCTGCCAAAACTAATTGTTTACCTGGGGAGATGTTTTAATTTTGCAGGGGAAAAAATAATTTTGATATTAATAAGAAAGGACTCTTTGAACCAAGTTCCTTTCAACAGAATAATGGAACATATAAATGCACTTTGTACTTCTAATTGTGGTCTTCATTCAACCACCTTCACTACGTTCAAGATTATTTTTCTTCTGCTCTATGGGTATTTCTGAGCTTTTAAACAAACCAAAACAAACCACAACTCCAGTTCACCCTTGTAAGGAGAAAACTTCAAAGGTGACAGTTCTTTCAGGTTTTGTTTAGGAACCTTAGCAAAAGCATTAAATACAGAAATCATTGATGTTTAATAGGAAAATACGCTCGAGAGATAAAAACCCTTTGACATCCAAAGCAACTGCACAGATGTGATACACTTTTTAAACACACAGAGCAGTTAATTGTACTGTATGATTTTTGGAACTTTGTACTTCTGAAGGCAGCTTTAAAGTGCTTTGTCCCATTCATGTCACATCCCATGGAATGAATAGTGCACATGCAATGACATCTGGAGCTGGTAAATGCACGTTTTCCCCTGCTGGGAAAATGGCTATGCTTTAAAACCAACAGGGAAGTAAGACGGATGTATGGCTTTTTCTGTTATTTCTTAGAAATCCCCCACATAAAGGCCAGAGCATAACCCTATTTAAGCAGGTTCTCCTAGGAAATGATGGAATTGTAGTCTCCCCCCAGACTTGAAAGATGAGACCTCAGGTTCCACACTGGCAGGCACTAAGGTACGCAGTCTCACCTGAGTGAATCCAAGTTTGATCCGTCTTTGTTTGAAAGTCTTGGCAAACTGCTCAAGCTCCTCAAGGTCACTGGGCTCCTCCAAGCTGGGAGTGTCGATTCGCTTTGGTGTTGACTGGCTCTGTGGAAGTGGCTGAATGGGGGTTGCTGCTATTGTGCGTGTTGGGGTTGCTGGCTGTTGAGACAGCAAGGAAAGGATGAAAATCAGACTTAAGAGGATAATCAACAGAAATTAAATTCCTAAAAGCTGTGTGATGTTCTTGTGAGAGAGGTCAGTGGATTGGACGTTTCCTGAAATCTGGAAGTTCCTCCGTTTATCAAGATTCCTCTCCAGAACAAGTAAACACAATCCAGAAAACTACAATAGTATCACAGGCTTCTAATGGTTCTGTTGTAAGAGATGTTCAATGGTAACCAACAGCTTTCACTTGCTGCAGAAGCTGCTCAAAGAAAGGCTGAACACACTCTACTTGATATGCTTCTATCACTTATAGACACCTTGGCATTCATCCCTTTTGAAAAAAATTAAAATTGAATCTACTGGTCTTGTGAGGTGGCAGATTGTCATCAGCCCAAAAGATGCAAATCCCCTATTTAATTCTGGAAGAGTGAGCACACGCAGATGTAGCAAACATGGCAAGTTTCCTCCAATGCCATCTCCTGTGACTGACTCAACTGTTCAGGAAAGAAAGACTAGATTTACCTCTAACCCTTCTGTTGACAGTTGCAACAATAAAATGAACATTCTGGTAACACAAGAAATTAGGCAAAGGCAATCTGCAGAAAATTATTCATGCCATGATCAGGTGAGATGCAGAGACAAATCATCTACTCCAGTTAATTTCTAGTCAGTTTAGCTGGGGCTCTTCAGTAAAGGTGATTTCATGCCTCTGTGTCCTGCATCCAGTTCTGAAACTCAGGACTCCTTCAGGGCAAACAAGAACAGCCACAAGTCCAGGCAGCACTAGAGTATTATACAAAGTCTATGCAAAGGTTCAGAAAAGGCTCTTCTAAAAGAAATGGCCTACATATAGCTCAGTCTTTCCATCTTTACATAACTCCTTATGTTGTTTTCCTTCTGGGTTAGTGCAGTGCTTTGCAGTGCACAGCAGATGGTAGAGGGAGGTCAAGAACTATAATTTCATTACTTGAGAAATAATGTAATCATATATGATTTTTCTAGAATTGCAGATACATGTGTCACACTTAAAGGTTTTTAATATTTTTTAATTTATATTAATCATAGTGGGTAATTACTGCAATATGTCTTCACTGATTTCACCCACTTTACATAATTTATTCTTTCTTAGTGGTTTTAATATTTTTTTTTAATCAAAGAATAATCTTTAGTGTGGAATCATCCTGCAAGCTGAGGTATGAGCTAGAGGTGAGACAAATTCCATTTTCCACATGGTGCATGAAAACTACCAGAGGTGGTATAATAGAAAATGTAGTTTTCTAAGACTCTGATAGACTCAGGCACCTTATTGCAGACTAGAAAATTCTTGTATGTAACCGAGGTGGCAGGAAGATACTGTGTGATATTACATGGTATTTGAGAAACAGCATGCAGCCATGAAACTAAACTGCACAGTAAAACCCAGAGCCAAGCACGACTAAATTTGCAGGCATGTGCAACCTTAAAATTGCTTTTCTTATAGTCTGAAAACTTAATCACAGAGCTCTAATATTTTAATATACATCTATCAGAATATTCGAATATTTCATTTCTAACAATCTTTTCAGTTTCACAGATGCTAACTGATAAGACTGGCAGTGACTTAGCAGTGATTGCAAAATAACTACACTAAAATAAAGATAGGTTACCACTGCAATCTTCAGAAAGAGGCTTGTCAGTGAACCCCTTTTGGAGTTTTTGAGGGAGCTCACACCTTGCTCCTCTGAATTTTCAAGAAAACCTTACAGGAAATGAAACAATGCTCTAATGCCATTAACTCAAGGTACCAATCATGAAAATTTCCAGCTAAAAATCCACTTTAGAACATTAAAGCCTGAAAGAGGCACATCGAGGTGGGAGCTACAAGTGCACTGCTATAGCTAGAAAGACAAATGCATGGTTATAGCTACAACATCTATTCAGGTAACTAATACAAAGGGTCCATTCACTTGCCATGGTTTAAATCCCCTCAAAGCAAGTCAAGAAGTGTAGGGAAAAGCCTGACCTGCGAGGCAAGGGTGATGCTTGGCTGAGACTGCAGGAGGTTGGCTTGGCTTTGCTGAGGTAGTTGCGTTAAGAGATTCTGCGCTTGCAGGAGACCTGCAGAGAGAAAAGGGAGTGGTTGGTTTGTCATTCAAAAACACTAAAACATGAAATGAGGTAAAACAAGGCTCTTGCCAAATGATGGAAGGTTTAAAAAAATTGAGATGGGAGCTTCTGTTTCATCAATGCATAGATAAGTTCAGACTTTGGAGTTTTCAGCCCCAAATCCCCTTGCATTTCCCTGAAGGGTAAGTGGTGATGGAAGGGAAAGAGGGAGAAGTGTGTGTAAGCGTCCTCTGCAGAAAGAGTTGGTAATGATCTAGGTCATCCCAGTCCTGTGTGCAGGAATCACTTACTGCCCCTTTCAGCATGCAGAGTTTGGATGCACCTCTTCTGGTAACCAAGAGCTGACCATGAATTGTGGAGCCATATAAAATACTGAGACTAATGAGATCAAATTCATCAACTGAATGCTAATTAAAATCACAAATTTGGCTTCTTGATCACCCTCCTTCCTCTCCAAACCACCCCATGCCAGCTGCCTAACAAGAAGGAAGCTTTCTGGCAGACTTAAGCAGACCACACCAGAAGACACAACAAGCCTAGATAACTCCTTCTTGGGTCAAATAAAGTAGGAATCTTTTGGAAAAGTAATTGGAATTAAAATTTAGGTAAGATACTGAACACTACTCAATTTTAACAAATAGAATAAACAGTACAATGAATATGGGAAAACCCTGCTACTATGAAAAAGTGCCAACATCAAAGAACAGCTGCAACTGATAGAACCAGTATGTATAATAGGCTGTCAATCTACAAATAAATTCCCTTACAGTCCACTATTTGTACAGTTTATTAAATCTCTGAGGAAACAGATACATGCCTGCATCTCTAAATACTTTAAACTACTAGAAACCATAATTTTTTTTTCATTTCTAATGCAAAAACATATCTATTTTTGAGAGACAGAATCTTGACAAAAATATACCTACAGTCAGTCAAATCCCTCAATTTTACTGTGAAAAATGTTAACTGTTATTTTTCATGTACCTCCTGGCTACAACTATCAATTTCCACTAAAACAATTAAGAACCCAACTAATTAAACTTACATTTCAATATGCCTAGTCCCTAAAACCCAGGGGGAACAACAGATGGATGGACTGCTATGCCACCATCAACTATGTAGCACTTGAATTCGACATCATCAGCTGCCTGATCTACCTCTTAGCAGAATAAAGGCAGGGGAAACAGAATTTAGGACTGGATAAATACCAAGTGAAGAACTGGATGTTTTATGCAAGGTTAAGGGCATAAGAGACATGGAAAGAGGGATTACTCTGGTTAAGAAGGAGAAAATGTATGCTCAGTAAGGGATACACAAGCATAGAAGAATTATCATCTGACAGCAATATTTGATTTTTGTTTAACAAAGAACTGAATATGTATTTTAAACAATCTTGTTGCTATCAAGATGCTCAGGACCTACAGAATACAGCCAGCTGCTTATGTAACATAATAGCACACCACAGACAACAATGTAAGTTTGCTCTGCACCACATAATCAACGTGTTCCAGCTGTGTTTTTGAAAAACCACAGTGAGGGAACAGAGCTGCTCAAGGAACTTCCAAGACAGCCACCTACTACAGCCACACACTGCTTTTTACAATGCAAATATTTGTTCACTTGAAAGATGATTTTAGCTGCCCAAATGTAAATATTAATTAGTAAACAGTCACCTCTAAGTGCAGAGTTTTTACCTTAATTCAGTGACAGTGAATTTGAAACTGACAGCTTGAAAGAGAAAGGGGCAAACCCATCACACTGTCACTACAGAGTGGCTGTAAACAAACAAATGAAAACCAGGCAGCCAACAGTGATGACATTTGAGTTCTAGTCACTGGTAACACCACTGATTACAAGTTACTGACTTGTCTTATGACTGCAATCAGAGTAATTAGGACTGGCCTTTTGTGACTTTCTGTCCCCAGAGAAATCCCAGAGGATGTTTTTCTGGCATTAACAATTTTGCTAAAGAGCACAAGATGACTACAGTCTTCCCAATTTTATTCTCACTCACATGGTCAGAAGTAATTATAATGGAATTACCAGCATAAAATAATCTGAACACGTTTAATCTACTCTGTTTCTACATAATTTTATCCTATGTAAGAGCTGCTGACAGAAGGTGTCATAGGCAGAAACTGGAGACACAACAAGCCAATTCAACCTGCAGCTGACTGAAGGGGATGGGGAAAGCAGCTGGAATATTTTGGAAATGTGTCTCCCCCTGATCACAGCCTTTTCAGGCACACACACTGGGCACTCCATGGCTCTCAGGGGTGGGCAGCTGCAGCTGTGCTCTTTTAAGACATGACTTGAACCAGTCTGAGCTCCTCCTTCATTACTTTTCTGAGAAGAAATCCCTGAGGTCCAAAGTAACTTCAGTGACTGAACTTACAGAGCACATGGCACTGCTTTTTCTAAGTAAACACACATCTTTTAGTCACCTGCTGAGATCCTGGCATTTCAGACACTGCTGTTTCCTTAAAGACTCATACTGCCACCAATACTGCTTAACATCTTTATTACCAAGTAGGCTGATGGGACAAAATAGATTCTCAGCAGGTCTGTGGACAATGCCCAAGATGGGGAAGTGGTCAACAGGCCAGAAGCCAGGGTAACAGGATGGAACAGGTGAGTGAGCTGGTTTTTTAGCCTGATCAGAAGACTAAGGTGAGATGCTACTGCTTTCTTCAAAGACAGAAATGGACTCTGCTCAAGGGTACACTGTAATGAGATTCAATGGCTATCAGAACATGGAAAACTCCAACTAGATATAGGAAAACCATTTAATTTCTTTTACCATGACAGCAGTCAACTCTTGGGGCAGGTACTCGAGAATGTTGCAGAAGCCCCATTCATGGACATGTTCAATTCAACTGGCCGAGGTGTTGAATAGCTGCTGTAATTGGACCTGCTTTGAACAATTCTACCTGGTCTCTAGAGGTCCCTTCCAACCCACATGATTTTTTTGAACATATAAAAGCTGCCATTGTACTTGTATACTTCACATAGGTCATATTCCTAACCCTCTGTCCTGGGTTTAAAGAGTCTAGTGCTATTATTGCATTAAATATGGTACACAAATCACCTATGTGGCACTCTACAAGAATGACTGCATGGAGGTAGATAAGGATCTATGCAGAAGTATGATAGTTTAGAGTCTTTTTTTTTTAATAGTTATAGTAAATAGATCTATTGTCATTCAGGATTTTTGCTGTAATGTCTAAGAGCAGCATGAATAATGGTCCAAGCCAAAAAACTCTTCCTGCCAGCCAAGAGTCCCTCAGGACTGATCTGGGGTTCGGTTCTATCTAAAATTAAACAAAAGATAAAACAAACATTCAAGCACAGACTTTTTCAGCATAATTTTTAAAAACTTGGCCCAGAAGCATAATGCATAATTCATCCCAAACTGATCTCCCAAAAGAGTGAATTTTTTCATGTAAGAACTTGACTGCTTTATCTCTGCCAAAGCTGTTCATCCCCTCACTGGAAGTTAGCTTGCAAGACAAAGCCATTACAAGGACTTCCACATGAGTGAGGTCTCAAAGTCTGTATAATACATATGAGAAAAGAAAACAGGATAGGATTTGGCCCAGGCAACTTTACAATAAAAAAAAAATCATAAAGGCAGTCTTTAATAATAAATAGCAATAACTTGAGACTAGGTAGATCCAGTTTCAATGTTTATAGTTAATTAGTAGCTTGTCTTCCACATTTTCCTTTCTGGATGTTTTCTTTGTAAGTACTATTTCTAAATCTCACTGTGATACAGTCTTTGCTTAGATCTCAACAACTCCTATTTGCAAGATTAATTTATATTAAACACAGCACCATTTCCCCCTCTGTTCAGATTTTACTGATACCATTTGTATTAGCAATATCTCACAAGTAAAAAGGTGAACAGTCACCTGATGAGGGTAATATTTTTAAGAAGCAGCTCTAATTGTACTAAGGGATGTTAAATTGATTATTTTAGAGACAGCTCTATTAGATACAAGAGCAGATACAAGAGATATAAAGGTATTACAAGGTGCTACATTCCTGCTGGTGACTTTAACAATAATATGAACAACAGTTGCACTGAATAAGAAAATGTTCCAAATTTCTATTTCCATTCAATCTTCTCCATATCTGCTGAGGCTTGAAACAATTCTTTCAGTTATGATGTTATCAATTACCAGCCATGAAAAATGGGAACTTTAAAATTTGTTTCATATAAGCCCCTAAATAGCCAGAAATCGTGTGAAAAAGGAAGGTGACTACATTAGACATACGGCAGTGGATTTATGGGGAAAATTTCCTCTCTGCTGCTGGGAGCTATAATGTGTGTGTTGAAGAAAGATAGTAGAATAACATCCCAATTATTGATTAATATTTTAGGTACTGAATTTCCTAAATTTTTTCAAAAGTTGAATCTCGGCTCACGATGTTAAATCCCTTCAACAATCTAAATACAATTGCTGATAACTGCATTTCTCTGTACCCTTTGCCTCTTGAAGTAAAACATTTTTCTTCACCAAATGTTTACATCTTCTATAATCTTGTCTAGATACACTATTATTCACTTATTTCCCTCAAAACTCTTCTCATTTAAAAACAGTGTTTCTCATTTACATGACTACATGGCATACACAAAATATGTAGCATAGGCTGTAAAGCAAGAAATTTCTTCCAGAATACATAATCTAGACACAAATCTGAATTTTTATGTTCATTATTAAATGTGTACATATATAAATCTCCATGCAATACCAATGAAGCATAAAAGAAAAAAAGAATGCCACTGGTTTTGAAGAAAATTCTATGCTAGTTTCTTTAGAATATTTATTATTTTATGAAGCTGACTAATGGAGCAATAGGACATGAACAACACGGAAAAGTCAGATGCAACAGGAAATAACAAAATAACAATACACACTTTCTCAATCTTTCTCATAAATAATAATGTACTGTTTGAGATCTTCTAACCATAACCATGAAACACTGCAAAAAAAAACATATCAAAAAGTGATATAGGGGGTATTATGACACACATGTTGCTTTATCATTGAGTGCTCATAAAGAAAATGAGATCTATTCAAGCATTTCAGTTTGGAAGGCTGTCACACACTAATGGCCTATGGTCAGAATTCAGCATATAAATCTTCCTACATTTTTGAGCTATTCAATTGTCCAGGCTGCACATTACCAGTAAAACATGATGTCTCTACCTCCACTGCGTCACTGAGGACAGCAATATGCAGCTCTTAAATTGTACTGAAGAAATGATTTTTCAGAGATGGCCTCTGGAAAAGGTACTGTGAAAATCTCATCTAGTACTTATTCTACTTCAGAAGATTTTAAGCAAACAAGAAAGCCTTCCCTTCTATAATTCAAACAACTCATTTTGGGGAATGAATACAATGGGCTTCTCTTAGTTTTCTTTTCTGTAAAGCATCTTCAAAGGTATTTTATAAAATCACAAGAATTTATCTCAAAATGTAGGCAGACAACAATACCAACGAGTTTTTCAAAACAATGCTTTTGTGCTTGCTGTTTTCTTAAAAAAATGTATTAAAAAGAAAACCCCAAGCACCTATTTTGAAGAATTCTTGAAGTAAACTTTAGTGCTTTGATTTCTTCTGGTAGAGTATGTTAAGTTTACAAGTTCTGCTTCATTTTAAGAAAGCAGTCCATCACTAAATGCTCTCATGAATAGCCTTTCAGCCATTTTCTTCCAGTGCTGGTATAAAATCTCTCCTAAATCAAGTCCTATTAAAAGGAAGGTAATTTTGCCTAACCCTTTATTCAAATGTGAGAGCACTCAGACAGTAAGCGTCCTTCAGCGTAATGGAAAGCCAGTTCTATCCAAGTCATAGTATGTAAGAAGGAATGATGCATGAAAAAATTGAAAAGAACAGGAAAAAATGAGGTGCAAAGAGCTGCTTTATAGGACAGCCAGGCTCTGCAGGACTCTTCAAGCATAACAGGATTTGCCTTCTGAGCAAGAATCTTTGGATTACCAGACCTGAACAACTGAGTAGAGTTCATGTAGAAGAGAAAGGGGGGAAAAAAGGCCAATGGAGTACATCAGCATAAGAAGCCATGGCTAAATGCAGTTTTCTGTGGGCATCAACAAATGGGGTGCAATCAGCACTGTGATGCACTGCAGCCTGAACACATCAGTCCTCAGAACAAAGCTACTGTACAACAACTTAACTGCTCTGGCACAGCACCACCCACCACTGCCTTGTCTTTGGCATGCAAGTCATACCCAGTGCTTTGCCAAAATATTATTAGAAGAGCTGTTACACAAATCCAGCATTCTAGCTCTTTTCCCAAGGTGTTAATTATTAGTTCAGTTTAGACAAAATTCATTGTTTGCTCTTTAGGCTTAAGCACTTTTCCAGACTCCCACAAGGACTTTGATTTTGTCATCTTTTCCCAGTCTGTCCTGCCTTTGACCGAGATAGAGTTAATTTTCTTCTTAATAGCTGGTACAGTGCTGTGATTTGGATTTTGGATGAGAACAATGTTGATAACACACTGATGTTTCAGTTATTGCCAAGCAGTATTTAGAGTCAAGGACGAATTTTCAGCTTCTCACCAGCAAGCAGACTGGGAGGGTACAGAGCCATGACAGCTGACCCAAACTGCACAAAGATATTCCACACCACCCAGTCTCATACTCAGGATACAAACCCAGGGGGAAAAAGCTGGCTGGGAGCAGGCTGGGCACTGGTATGAACGACCTGAGTTTCACTTTTTCCCCTAGAAAATGCTGTGTATGATTTGCTTTTGTGGCAAGGAGCACTTACCCTGCTGCCCCTGCGGCGTTTGTGAGATGATGAACTGTGCTGGCTGCAAGTTGGTTGTTGGATGCACCAACACAAACTGTTGCAGGTTGAGATTCTGCTGCTGAAGCTGCTGCAAGTGCTGCAAATCCTTAAGGAAACGGGAAGGGGGAAAAAAAAAAAAGAAGACCAAAAAAAAACCAGGAGAAAAAAAAAAAAAAGAGAGAAGACAAAAAAAGAAGAAAGTAAAAAGAAAAAAAAAAAGAAAAGAAAAGAAAGAGCTGTGTGTTAGACAAGTAAGTCAGCGATAATTCCCAATATAAGATTTCCTATCAGCCAGCTATACTCCAACATTTAGAGAAAAAAGTAGATGTAAAACACAGCAGAAGTCCTGCTACTGAATATCCTTTACAATGGCAATTTGAATTTCACTTTCATTCATAAAACCAAAGTTATTTACTAAATAACCCAGCAAAGTATATCCAGAACTGTTCTGCTTTAAAAACAAAACACAAACAAACAAATCAATCTTCCTTCCTCCACAAACTCAGGAGTTTTCAAATCCATTAAACTTATCAACACAAAGATCTCTCAAACTTATTTTTTGAGGATGGAACCCTGCTACAAATCAAGCATATTAGCTGGGAGCTATTTTTTTTGTAACAACAGTCTGCAATTACCATTTGAATCAACAACAAGGAAGCAAAATATTACAGATTCCTTGTTTGCACTCTGGTTGTTTGGTTCAAATTTCAGAAAGTAGCTAACTCAATTAGTAAATATATTTCATTTGTTCTGAAACAAATTACAATAAGCTTAATAGATATGACTATAATGAAAGGTTAAAAGGAATAATACAAAACACTGCATTATTGAAGAACCCTACTTTTATGTATTTAAACCATTCAGGACTATTAATTTTCTATAATTAAATGACAGGTCTCAATGTAAAATGTTAATCTCTGAGAAACTGAGGTTTTCAAGAAAAATACTTCAACCTGACATTTAGCTGGAGAATGAAAACATAGAAAACTGCTTAAAAATCGTTCCCCCTAAACAGCCTTTTTCTTTTCATCTCCAAACAACACAATAACAAGAGCAACTGAAATTTAAAAAACACACTGTGAAGTCAGCCAACATAACAGTGGTAATCCATGAAAACGATCTAAACAACACTTATTGGATTTTTCCATCCTTCCAGGAAGAATCTATTTCAAAATACTCACCAAACAGGTGGAAAAAAAGCCTGAATGAAATACTTCCCACACTTGCAACCTCCCATTACACAAACCAAACCAAGCAGACTCCCCCAGAGCTCTGTTTCAGGGAAGCCCCTCAGGTCCCTGTTTGCAGAGAAATCGTGTTCAGCTGCGGCAGTGCCTGGTGTGGCTGCTTGGAGCTGCTCATCTTCCCACAGCCCCCGGCACACCTGAGCTCAAGTGAACCAGGGGAACAAAGAGCTGCTCCTTAAGCTGCTCCTTGGGCTGATGCAGGTTACTGAACACTCCCACAGCCTGCTCAGCCAGAGGATGGGACAGGACATTCACTGCCAGCAGTGGATTTGGAGATGAGAAGTCAAGACAGACTGACAAAGAGAACTTCTTTCTTACACAATGCTGTTACCTGTGACAATGCATTATTTTAAATCTGTTCAAACTGTAACTTGGAAGTGGCAACCATCTCCTTCTGGAGATGAGGGGTGGGGAATGTCAGAAAGGAAGACTAGGAAGGGAAAAAATAGGGAGTCCACTGATTTATGAGACCATAGACAGGCTTTATAAGAAAACGACTACTTAACCTGCATTACACAGACACTGGTCATCAATCACTGGGGCTACTTAGCCCTGTTAAGTCAAAAGCATGCAGTGTAATAATATGGTAGACAGACACCAGATGGATTGATCAAGCAATGCTCTTTAAGAAATGGAAACTTCCATTTTATAAGAGAATGCTAAAATTGTAAAAAGTACTCATGACCAAAAAAGTGGTTTTAAAGTCAACAGTATTGTTTGCTTTCAGAAAATTTCAGAAATAATGCAACTATTCCAAAGAAATCAAGGCAAAATTCCCTTTTGAAAGAGAGCAATAATTACTTCAGTTCTATCCTGGAACTCCATGTTTCTTATGACTTCATATCCTAACATCACATTGGTCAGAACTGCTACCAAAACCTCTTACTTCTTGAGCTCAACACAACACAGATCTCCACTCATTTATTCACTGATTTTCAATGCTCAGCTGGTTGCAGATTGTGCTGACCCTCCAGCTCAGAGGGGGCTCATACTGGAATGGATGTAAGGACTGGATGCAGAGTTGAAAACAGAAATGTGAAGAGCTGGGCAAGCTGACTCAGGTTGTGAACACTGGGCAGAAGAAAAGGAAATAAAGAGAGGCTGCAGGATGAAAATACAGGTATATAAAAGAAAAAAAAAACCCATAAACACAAAAGGAAGAGTTGGGAAGACACTGTGGAAGAAAAAAGTATCATTGGAAAAACAGACAGGTTAAGGACCTCTCCCAATCAAAAGCAAACAAATGAAATCACCCCAGATGACCAAGGAGATCTCAGATGATTTGAAGCACCCCCACAGGAGATGGAGTTACATGCAAGAAAGAATACAAAGAAACAGTGGCAGTGTATCTGTAAGATCAAAGGAGGAGAGCTTTTTGTTTAAGACTATGGTATTCATAACACTGGCTACCCAGCCAAGACATGACAGCTCTTATCATCAGGCTCTTACACTTTAATATGAGAAAACTGTTTTTAAATTGAGGCCTCAGGGAGAACTGATATAAGCAATCTTATTCTGTGCATCTGCCTTGGTAAATGGTATGTTGGCTAAGTCTTGTTTAAATACAGAAATATAATTCTGCAACGCGAAATGAAAATGATACCTCCAAGGCTAATCACTCCTAAATAGCCCTACCAGCCTCTCAAATGCATTTGAAATTCAACTTTATTTCCACCTTGGGAAAGTTTTTTTATTTAGTTAATTATACCATTACAATAAATCTCCCAATAGCAAACACACAAACAAACCTGACACTGTTTTCCTATACTGACCTTTTTTTCCTCAGCGTTAAAATCTGTATGCTAGCACAAGCACATAGAAAGAGATGGAAAGACTTTCAGGGAGACATGCATGTCTTCTGGTGCTGCCTAGCAATTTAGAAAGATCAAAACAATCCAAATCCTACCTCAGCAGAATCATCTGTCAAGTGCTATGTCTTGCTGTGAGGAAGATTTTTTGTTTTAAAAAAAAATCTAAATTTCTAAATTCAATACCGTTATTTCCAATTACAGCTTCAGCACAAACTTAAGCATCTGAGATTTTGAGATTTACCTCATATAAATACAGAGCCTAGATGCTGAAAACAAGGAAGTCTATAAAAAACCCCAAAAGTTGAAACAAAACTGTTTAGTGTCATTGCAGGAGCAATACAAGCTCCTCACCAGGCTGCTGCAGCAGATACCTTACGTGAACTGCAATGCACATTAAAGAAGTCATGCTTTTGCAATTAGTTAATTAAAATAAATATGGTAATCCCCCTGCTGCAGAGACCTGCCAGTTAATCAATTATTCAAAAACCATCAATTAAAACAAACATTCAGCTATTTGTATAATCAGCTATATATTTACAATAGCAACACAAACAAAGCTGAGCACTGCTTACAAATCCTTGCCAAGACAGATCAAAAAGCACGGTGCTATCTACCCATGAACCTAGATGATAGATGTTTTTCATAAGTACCTCAAATTATATCCAACACCTGCACAATTTATGCCCTGCTCTTTCATCATGAGGAGCAGTTAACAAGATTCAAGCAAGCTCATTTATGTATCAAAATAACTTATCCTAAAAGACATTAATTGTAAAGTCAAACATTTAAGTAATTAGAAACGTCAGAAAACAAGTACAACTTTAATTTGTTCTGCACATGGCAACTACAAGATCATACACTATTTTTCAGAGAGCCTTTAGCTCACTCTGTGCAGAAATCAGACAATGCTGCCTTCAGAAACTCTTATTTGACAGCACATGCCTGATATTTTCAACTCCTCTCAAACATTCTCTGAAGATTTTCTAAGTTCTGGAGCAAAAGCCAGTACAAAACTAGTAATTGTAAATGCTTCACGCATGTTCAGAGCTTTGCACTGAGGTAGGAGAGCAGGATTAGAAACATCTCACACATGCATCACACTGGTATCCACTGCTTTGGTGGCCTGTTTGACAAAGCTAAGGCCAGACAATTCAAGGTACAGACTTTGTTAAGAGGAAATTTTAGCCCACCAGACTTCAGTGAAGCAGACCTTGCTATCTTAAGCTGCACATCTGGAAGAGGAGAGGCACACCTGTGGATTGCTACATATATGTTAAAAGACTCACATCCCATCAAGTGGGAACTCTGTGGCAGGTGCATGAAAGATGTCAGAAGCTATAACCAACAACTTCCTTGACAAGGACATTGCATATCCTCTTGAAATCTCTGTGTACTATTGCCTACAGATAGTAGGAAGAAACAAAATTGAGATATGATCTTGAGAATTACAAGTTTCCTTGAATGCTACATCCTTCAGTCATCTCTACATCATGTCAGGGAAGTGGATTCCTTGGCTAAAAAAGGTATTACTTGGTGACGTGACTTCCCTCAGTGCAACAAGAGCTTCAGTGGGAGCAATCTCACCAACACAGCAATATCAGCACTCGCCTTTTAAAAACAGGATGGCACCACTCTGGCCTCTCCAAGGACACCCATAGAGGTCAGAACTTCTAGACCAACACACAAAAGTTGTCACTTCAGCTAATGGAAACCTGACAGCACAGCCAGGCTGCTGTAATTCAGCTAGTGGACCAGCACAGTAAAGGATTGAACATTTCACCACCGGACTTCACAGACAATTGCAACATTTCCATTCTTGTCCTTAATCAGACCTTATGTCCACTTTTTGGACACTTCATCCCAATTGAATGCAAGAGAAAATAGCCTGAACAGAAAGCATCAGGCAGTCTTAAAGAACTTGCTCACTCTATGAAGCAGCAACTTAGAAGATTATATACCCCACACACTTTGCACAGCTAGACTAAGAAAACTGTTATTATGTACCAAGAGCTTTAATCTATGGAAAGACGGACCTCAGCATGAGCAAGACATTCACCTACTCACAGTACTCAAGTACAGAGTTAGTGCCACTGCAATCTCCACACTGAATTAAGCCAGTCCTGGAAGACCCAGGAGGTCCCTTCCTGCTTCTAGTAAGCAGAACATCCACAGAGAGCAGTTCTTCAGAACTGACAAAGTCTTTAGTACCAGATCATGAGACTAGACAGATTCCAACACCAGACTCATTCTCCAAGTTTCTCTCCAGACACACAGGAGTGCCCATTCTTGGTCATGGAACCTGCAGCATTGAACACCAAGCCAAAACAGCACACAGACAGGTCAAGCCAAACTGCCATTCTCCAGTTCTATCATTCTGCTTCTAACAAGCACCATTTGGGTCTGACAAGCATCCTTTTGATACACAGGCATCACTTCTCATCCATGCAGGTCTCAACAAGTGCAACTTCTGTGGACAGCTTTCCATACCCTTTTTTCTCCTTCCTCACGCTAACTACAAGGAGGAAAATTCAGCAAACACAGCATCTCCTCAGACTCTGGTACAAACCCAGAAGCCCAGTGGAAATGAGGAGCAGCTGGCACACATTCCTCGCTAAGACTATCAAACTCCAACCTCACCATCCAACGATGCACGAGGAAAGACTACCAACGCTGGAGGACTCTAGCAACTCACTGAGCGAGGAACAACAGATTTCATTGGAATGGTGCAATCAGTCCAAAACCTCCTTTGTATTCCACCCTCTCAAGCCTCAAGGCTCACCTGTGCAATCTGTATTGGCTGAGATAGAGGGATCTGCGTCATCGGCGTCGCAGCAGAGGCCGAGATGGTGGCACCAGCAGCGCTGTGCTGCTGGCTGGCCGAGTGCTGCACTGCAGCCGCCAGCAACTGCGCCTGCGCCTGTTGGAGCAATAACTGTTGCTGGGCTGGCGTCAACGTGAGCTATAAACAATTAGAAAACACAGCCATTAATAATGGGAAGAGCCACTTCAGCTACAAAGTCATTAGATAGCTCAGTATTACTTATGTTAACCAGGCAATCCTAGGGCTATTCCACTGGCTCTGGCCTTAAGGAAGGACAGCTGGCTACTCAACACAGTGTGGGAACCGACCTACCACGGGCCTGACGCAAACCAAACTGCACCACCACCAACATTTGCACTTACTGGAACCTGCAGAACCTAACTCTGCTCCGAAGTTTTCCTCACGACTCTATCAGGAGTTTCAGGGAAAAAGCAATTAAGTAGCAAGCAAAAGAAAAGAATCGGTATTGCCAGGATTTGAAAGGAAATTTACACCCAGAACAGCAAGTGATTAGCCAGATGAATGTGAAGCAGGAATGCTGGCTATGGCTACTGAACAAACTGATAACGCCCCAGCTGCTTCACATTAGCATGAATCCCTGCCATATTCCATCATTTCCATTATGCCCTAAGATATAAGTAAAGAACATGAGCTCCATTTGTTTCTCTCCAAGTCTCCCCATCTGCCTTTTTTTTTTTTTAATAGAATAGAGTTGGCAACTTTACATCCCTTCCCTTTCCCAAGCACACATTATCTCTGTGGAACAGGTGGCAGCAGTCTCTCCTTTACATGTAAATGAATCTTGATGCCCATATTTACTACAACCTGTATCTGCATAGGCCGGGAGTTTTGAATGTTTCACTACAGCAGACAATCATGAATTAAAACAAACCAGTATTTTCGGAGAATACAAAAAATACTAAAATATGCCAGGTTTTAACAACACATTGAAACAGTCTCACTTTTAAAACTTTCAATGCTAAACTGAAAACTAAATAGGATGTCTATTTACATAGTAACATAGGAGAAGATTTAACAATTGAGCCTGAGATTAAGAAGTCATTTCATGCAAGTGTAGGGATGATCTAACCTAACACTTCAAATCATAAATATATTGTCAGAGCAATTGCCCTAAGCTTATTAACACACAAACTCTTATACTGCAAAGCTGATTATGGGCAAGCAAATTCTTTAGCCAGCCCATTCACAAAACTTGCTCTTTTTTGAAATGACTGAAAGCCTTTACAACAATTCAGAAACACCAGAAAGTCAAAAACAACAATTATCCCATATATACTCCCAAAGTGCTGTAATTAAAACCCCCTCAAAATCATTAGGTTAGAACAAAAGGGTTCAACAGGCTTATGGAAAGTACTAATAGAGTTACTTAAAAAGAAATGTGTTTGAGAAGAGGAAAAATTAACAATTCCCATAACTTTTCTTCTTCACTCAGCTATAAGATTCAGTCTTGCTCTCCGATGCCTCATTTTAATATTGAAAAAAAAATTTCTCTTTATGACATCAGTGACTGTCCTATTTGTAACTGTTGTAAAACAACAGGTTTTCATTTCATTGCAGGGTCAAAAGGGATACTGAGAACAGAGAGAAAGAATTCTTTGTTGTTAATGTTCGGAAGCAAATACCGAGCGACAAACCCCAAATATTACAGTCTCCTTATTTTTGTAGCCAAATATTTCCTGTTGCCCCTTGCACTGAAGTTCATAGTGAATTAAAGGCAGTAGCAATGCCCCTCAATGATACCTGTGTGGGACTGCAGCATCCCTGGGTAACTCTTACCCCGGTGATCTGTCCTCCGGCCAGCATGAGCTGGGTCTGGGGTATGGCCGCCTGCACTGAAGGCTGCTGGGAAGGCTGGCTTGGCTGCTGAGAGTCCCCAGATTCTTCATTAGATTTAGACTAGTCAAAAAAAAATACAACTCTTTATAGTGTAAAACAGATGTTAATGTATGACGCTGCTATCTCAACACTGCACAATAAAAATCTTTCATCTGCATACGAAAAGCCCTTGGGTTTATTTTAAGAGTGTGTTTAAGCAATGGCTCTGTGTGCCCACCATCTCAGCTACGACTGCTGAGACACGTCCGTAGGTAATGCAGCTTAAACAAAACAAAGAGGCTCTCTGGTCTCCTGGAACTCTCTGACATTATTTTCTGGTCTCACTTCATTTTACACCGTGCAACTGAAGCTGACGCTACCTTTCACCATGAAGAAAGGGAAGGTTGTTAAAATTATTCATTGCCTAAAATCCTGAACAATGGAACGAGGGAAAGGAGATTGTGTTTCCATTTTCTCTATCTCCATCCTGTACCTCTAAGTCATCATACTGTTGGCTTATACAGAACCTTTTTTCAAAAATCCTCACAGGTTTCTTTACCTACAGCAAGATATATAATATATACAGTGCTTTTAAATACTCAATGCATTTATTTAATTGAATACTGCTTTATTTTAAAAGATCCAAGATTATTTTGATTTATTTTTGTGGTTTGGTTGTTTGTTTCTTTTAAAAAGAAGAAATTGTGAAGACATGAGGGAGGAAATTCAAGTGCATGAAGAGGGGGAGAGAGTTTTATGATAATTAAAACTGGTTATGCAGAACATTACAATTCTGCATAGATTTGCATATTTTCCACCACCTGTTTTGGGGACTGCAGAGCGGGCTAATTAACATAAAGGCTCTGATTAATTCTGCCAGTCATTGAGCGATAATTACAGCACAGGACTGTAAACATTCTGCACTGGAGATACAGCCTGTTTGCCAACATCTCTCTCAGGGATGGAAGTTTACCATGGCAACCAAGGCAATTTTCTGCCTCCTTCCTCTTAGAAAGGAAGGTCACTATACCTCCTCTTCTTTCCAAATTGTTATTATGTATAAGTGGGTCCACATTCTATTGCATTTCATGTAATGCACTACCTACATTCTTTAATAACATGCAATACTGAAACCAGTTTTCAATAAAACTGCATCCCTTGCCCCTTAATATAGTACAGAGTGGAAGTAGAATGTTAACAGATAAACTGAAGTGTTCAGCAGCATAGGAAAGTTTGAAAGCTTTGCTGTCTCACGTACATCATTAAACAACAATTACTCTTTGAAGTCGCTGTGTGTTATTTACACAAGCAGTCTGAACTAGCCATATTATATAGTTAATGCTACCTTATATTCCTATATACAGTTACCAGAAGTAAGGACAGATTGCTAAGTAATACTCACTACATGTTTAAAGCAAGTTAATAAGCAGAAGAACAAGAAATATTCCTGGAGTTTTAAGGTTTGCATGATACCACACCAACTAAAATTCAGCATCAAGTTATGGTTACTCCAAGTTTTAAACAACTCCAGAGCCTGAATGCTTACGAATCCTGAACCTCATTTACAGTTGTAGAAATGTTATTCCTGCATACCTATCACTTGCCAAACTAGTCAGACTGAAAAAAACTGATTAATCTATCACAGGTTAAGAACTATCTCTACTGATGCTGTTTGGGATGAGAGAAGGATGAGCAGCAGAAGGTAACTGTCTTTACCTGTACATTTAAGGACTGAGCAGCAGCCTGTAAACTTGTTCCAGCGAGCTGGACCTACAACAGTGCAAAAATGGAAATGAAATAATGTAGAATCCACAGAAAACTAATAATGTAAAAAAAAACAATCTCCCCACCCACATTCCAAAAAAGCTCCCCCTATAACAGAGCATGACCCTCTAACACTTGAATCAGTGGAACAGGGGTTATCCTCCAGGCTGAAACAGATGTGTAAGACTCTTCCATGATGTTGTTTATCTACCTCTTACTGAAGGTATCCCTGCCTAAGGATGTAGATATTATGGATGGAGTTGAAACAGAGCATACTGAACTGGACATGCCAACTAGTCCTATTCCTGCTGGAAAAATCCAGGCTCCAGGGCAGGGCATTAAGCTCCACTCATCGACATCCTACTCCATTTCAGAACGGGTCTCACCCCAACACTGCACTCACCAGCTTTCTGATATGAGCAAGCACGTGCACAGCACAGAACCCAGAGCACGACCACACTCCCTGAAATTAACCCATTCAAGTATTTGCAGCCCTCAGCCACTGAAAAGAAGATCTCAACACAGAGCACAGGAGACACTTTACAAAGGCTGTATTGATTCAGGTACACTTAAAACTTGAATTTGATGTTTGTTATTAATAGGCCCAAAGGTGGTCTTGTGGGTGAGCAGCAAGGAAAAATGGATGATTCAGAAAGTGAGATTTTTGGAGTGCTTTTTATCTCTAATGAGGAAAATGTACAAAAAATGCTATCTTTTCATTTACTGAAACCCATTTGAATCAGTCTCGCCTAGTTTCTACCGGGACCCCTAGATATAAAGAAGGAATGTTCTGTAATTAATTACCAACACTTTCAAAGGTCACAGTAACAGCCTGTAGAGAATTCCATCTCTGGACATGTTTGAAAACCACTGCTCATTTGAAAACCAGGTGACATGTAAGGATACAATAAAGCAAAGCACAATGTAGCACTCTTGCCTCTAGATGGAGGGCCTCTATATGCTCCCCACACAGAAAAGTCCACAAATTTTCAGGCACAGGAAAAACTGCAGTACATGAAATTAATAACTGAGTATTTTGAACAGGCAACCTTGGAAGAGTCACCTTGGAAATATTTCCTACTTCTTTAGATGAAGGTACTAGACATAGTAAGCATGATCTACATCAAAGCAAACACTCCCAGCAAAGCCCCTCCTCATCAGAAGCAAGATACAGTTTGACACAGTCATGTAATCTGTGCTTTTACCATGGATTAACAGCAGAGAATAGCCTAAATAATAGCACCCTGACATCCAAACTATATACTCAAAATAATACTTTAAAATTACACAAACACCACATAAAAGGCTACAAATACATATTGATTGCTCAGGTACAGCCAGCACATTCCTGAAAATCTCTGTGAATGCAATTTGGACATCCCTTTCACCACACAGCCAACACTTCCAAATTAGAAATGCTGAATGCTGCCTACAGCCCAGTATTTTGCATTAGTCTAGAGCAAAGCACTGTGTGTTAAGGCTGAATAACACCCCACTAACAGCAGCCTCACTACCAGAGGACAGATTGACAATAGATTCCCACACACCTGCAGGTGAATAAAAGAATACCTGAGATTTTCCTTTGAACCAGTTACCAGAAATGAATCACACTTTATCAAACACGAAGTTATAAAGATCCTGACAACTGTTTAAATAAATAAATTTCCAAAGCAGGATAAAGCACCGTGCAAAACCCAATTACTGTCCTGGGTCAATCTATGGAACAAAACGAAGACTAAAACAAACACACAGAATTCTGCAGAACAGCTGTATCTGTCTCCATGTTAAATACACACTGGCAAGCCATAAAAACTAGTCAGCTTCTCTCCACATAAAGGCAGCCTACAACAGCCTATTGGTTCAGCAAATTCAAACAGTGGCACTCCCTTAGTCCTATATAAACCAATCTGCTAGGAAAATTGCAATTATGTGACAAGACGTGTGGAATGTTCCATACAATAAAACGGCAGTTCAGAGCTCTTAAAAGAGGGCATAAAAGCTTCAGTACTTCAATTATACCACAATAACTGTGCAACCTCAGACCTCAAACATTCAAGGTCATCCAATTAGGTACAGTATTTTAAAGTTTAACTTGGTGCAGAGGAAGGGAAAGAAATTAGGACATTTGTTTTCATACATCAAGTGCGAACAGATAAAAAAACTACAAAAAAATGCCCCTTATACTTCTTTTCACCTAGGGATGCCCCATTTTGCTTCAGCCTGCATCTGAAGTTCAGCTTTGATTCCCTAAACACAGCAGCAGCAGAACAGAGGGATAGTATTAGAAGTCTGAATATCACCTGACAAACAGGTCACCGAAATAACTTTTTTGTAAAAAAAGAAAACCTCACAAGGCATATATGCTTAGTATTAAAATACTCTTACAGATTAACTACAACTTTCCTTGTAGTTAATCTGTAAGAGTATTTTTAACTAGGCAAGTGACAGTTTTGGAACCTTGGCAGCCATTGGGCCAATACAATCCTTTCCTAAAAATTTTAAATTTTTTCTTACCTTTCAATGTGGTCTCTCTATTAAGTTAAAACAACAACAACAAAGCAAACAAACAAAAAACCTACTCAAAATGTCACCACAACAATTAGGCATTCTCAAGTCACCAAAAACGTGTTTTGCAGTTCTCTCCAAGAGGTCTCACCCTATCTTGACATGTTCTGCAGCCTAATGCAATGAAGTGAATGCCAGAATTAGGACTTTTCCCATCCACGCTCGTTAACCAGGTGGTGCTCCCAGATTTATGATCCAATAAATGACTCTCCATCATCCACAGAAAGAGAGAACATGGAACACACCAGGGCAGCTGACCTCCTCTGTTTGAAATGTCTCTTCTCTTACCTGATGAAGGTGCCCAAGGAAGGCCTGGGCCTGGGCTGTAGAGATTGCTCCTCCGACAGGCACAGGCTGCTTTTGAAAGTCCAGGCCGTTTGTTTGCGTGCCTGGAGAAAGAGAGATATTGAAAACTATTCATTACTGCTTTTAGTAAGTGGAACAACAATCAATACTCAACTTTCCTGCTATTCTCTCAACATTATATAGTAAAAAAACACTCTGAGAGTAACAAGAATTGCATTTTTTTAGTGGGGTGGGAAGCAGAGTCCAAGCTTCAGTAACAGAGCATTTGTCAGCTGAACAAAATCACCATCATATTTTCTTTAGCTTCCATCATCTGTTTGTGTACCCTGAAGATATTTAAAAGATGTGCAGATGTGGCACTTAAGGACATGGTTTAAAGGGGGACTTGGCAGCATTAACAGTTGGGCTTGATGATCTTAAAGGTCTTCTCCAACCTAAACAATTCCATGACCTGTGTTTCTATGTACTCTACTATCCCAACACTCTACACAGCTTGAGAACCAAATGGGTGCTTGCTGCTGTGATTAAACTGTGTTTCCATTCTCCATGCACCCCCTATCCAACAGCTGAAGACTAACTTCAAATTCAGGAAGTGCCAACAGCAAGGTTCATATAAAAGCCACCTCTCCTAAAGGACAGGTAAAGTAACACTTGATGAAAACAGAAGTCCCATCTATATACAGCAGTTATGGGCCACAGTTTTACTCTTTCCAGAAATGACTCCTCTACATTTCTGTTAAAGTTTGTTCAGAGGTCTCATTAGATAAGATAACTGCCTTGGCTTGCTTCTGCTTCTTCACTTAGTCTCATGTAACTAAAACCTGGTTATTTTCCTACATTTTTGCAATCTTTCCCTAAACTGCTCAGAAGACATGAAAACCTCCCAATTATCACTAAGTAATTTGGGTGTGAGAAGAAAAAGAAAAAAACAAGTGGGTTTGAGGAATTTTTTTTTGTTACTACCCACAGGAAGGGAGACTCCAAGTGTGTTGAGCTGCAGGGAATTTCTACAACAGATGATGCAATCTTTAAAATAGCGTGACTGAAATGAAGCTAAACCAGCTTTAGACTTGCATGTTTATTCATCATGACAATCAGATTTTGTTCAGTGCCCACAGGCAGGTGTGCAGAGTAACATAATAACTTCAAAATTCCTTCCATCATCTGCATTCTCTGCCAAAAAAACCCAGGTTATCTACTGAGCAAGAGTCACCGCTGTTGAACAACAACAGGTGGTTGCCATTCCTTGCAAACATCTGCAAAAGCAAGCAGGCATAAAATGTGATTGGTAAAACAGACTGTCCAATACCTCACACTGCTGTTTTGACCTGCAAACAGCTTACACAGGTCACATTTCCAAAGACTGAGCCACTGTTCCATTGAACACTGCCATAATATCAAACTTTCTACCATCCATGTAAAGTATACCTAAGGTGGCCCTTTGATGCATCTTTGGTGGGGGTTCTGTGTGGGAAGATTTGGTTGACTCCCAAGTTTTCAATTCCATGCTTGGGGACAAGGTTTACAAACTTAAGAGACATACATGTAGCCAAAGATCCACAGATGGGTTAAAAATATTCCAATTTTAAACTGCATAAATGATTTTGCTTAATTAGTCTAAAATGCCAATTCAAAGTGAATACAGGGACTCTCACTGGTCTGAATTGCTCCTGATGGAATGCAACTTGGTTGCCTTTCTCCAAAGAGTGGTATATAAGAAAGTCTGCTAGAAAGAACCAGAAGAATCTCATCTATCTTCATTCTTTCCAGTAAACTACAGAATTCTCTCCATGCAGAAACACAAAGGGAATGAAATAGTAGTTGGGTAAATATACAAAAATAATTCCTGACAAATAGCTACCATAAGTCAAAGGAAACAACCTACCACCTCCTCCTTTAATCAAAGGTTTTGAATTACTTTTCAATGGTCAGGGAGTGAAAAAAATACAGATAAGAAAACTACTGGAGGGCAAATACTCCTCATTCCAATAGGAAACTTGTGGGGGTTAAAAAATGTATCTGTTTCTGAGAGAACCAGCTGCAGGCCTCACCTTGGGTAAATAAGTGAAGCTGCTCTAGTTAGCTATCTCCCAAAAAGAGCCTCAAAAATCATGATACCATGTTGAAAGAGCACTACTGTGCAAGTGTGCAGAAGAAATGCTCCAGTTATCAGTTTTGCTGACTCTTTATATGGAAACCTGAAAAAAGCCTCAAAGCCTCCTAGGTAATAGCTTAGAACAAAGCAAGCTCCAAGACTGAGCTTAAAATCTTCATGGCTCCCAACAAACAACTTAGGCACTGAGAGAAAACAACATTTTCTTTAAATTCAAAGAGATCAGTTTAAATTGAAATTAAAATAATTTTAAATTGAAACACATCAACTCCCTCTCCCCGGGCCTCCCAAAACTAAACTCAGGGCGAAAAAATGCACATCACACCTGTTCACTCTCTGTTCTACTACTTGCAGCTTAAACTTTCTTTGGTGTCTGGAAGCACAAAGTCTCTTCCCCCCTGGATGCAGCCCTAATTTTGGAAGGAATGCTACCCTGGCTGCTTGCATTTTTCACAGGATGCCCATGTCTTTTGAAGAACAGCAAGGAAAATGAAGTGAGTCCAGCATATGAGAGGCCTTGCTTTTAAGGTGCTCAGAAGGATGTGGCACCACTCCCATGGAATCCAAGATATCTGATAAGGAGCTGGAAAATAGTGCTGTCAAAAGCAGGAGGACATTGTAAGGATAGAAAGGACTAGAATGCCACTTTCGCTCAAGGTAAGAATTAAATACAAAACTCTGTGATAATTAACAGACATGGCAGATACAATCACATGCAGCATGACTTTAACAGTTCAGGGTATTAATCTATTTTCCATCTTCATCCCAATCTCAATAACTGCTAGAGCTTGCTAACACCAAAAACAGCCCCAAAAGAGTGGGAACTCTCCACGTCCCATCTCTCCTTCCTTCTTGGTTCCAGCTCCATCTTGGACAGCTCCCTCTCCTGCCCCTTCTGGTATTCCACCAGTAGAGCTTGCTTTGGTCTGGGTGCTCCACCCCCAGCCAGCCATGGGATGGAATTTCAGTTGAGGTCCAGTGTAACCCAAGCATGTTTAAATTCTGGCATAAATTCAGCCAGGTGCTCAGCTACTTCACAGCGCTGGTTTGGATGAAGAACAATACAGTACTACTCCAGGGAAAGGAACAGAACTATAGATACTGAACAGGGATTATTATATGGCATTTTGGAATTGTACCTGCAGAGGGTAAAGGCATGACAAAGTAGAGCAGGCAAGGTGACATTGCACCTGCACTCAGGAGCACAACTTTCTCTCAAAATTCCAGATTATAAATCATCAGACCTCAGCCTGAGTTTGTAAATTGCATTAGAAAGGAAGAGGAGTGAGGAACCCCAGATCAGGGGAGATGTGGAATAAGATGCAAGAAAGAACGCAGGAAGGGAAGGCAGCCAAGGAGAAGGATGATCTCAAAGCCAGCTGGAGTGGGTATCTGCACTCTGGGAGACATCTCCCAGCACCACCACCATATTTTCCCAGGTTACCTCTCTTTCCCCACCTCTGCTGAAACACAGAGAGATACCCCCAATACTCAGAAATTGTTGTTTCCCTATCCACATTTCCTAATACCAAGTTCAGCATTGATAATTGCCTGATTTTAGCAGTTGAAGAATAGTTCATGGTCTCCCTCCTACAGACTTCCTTCTTATGGAAACTGGAAAAATCAATCTTTGGAAATGAAGCAATGCAAACAAGTATCCTTAGAATCCTTCCAAATACTACATTTACAATAATTATTATTTGGCTGCTATGTCAACAAATGCCATAATAGTACAGTTTCCATAGTCATTATAAGCTTGGCTTTCACAGTTCTGCATTCACACAGCTCTTACAAGAGAAGATGCAATAAACAAACAAAAAGGTTGAGGTGTTTTGGAAAATTTTATGCTGCCTATAAAAAGGAGATCAAAAGGGTTTTACTGTAAGGTAAGATATTTTTCTTACTTCTCCTTTCTCCAGCAGATGCTATGTAGACTGTCTGCCCACATCTGAAGCCTGGAAAAGATTTCTCTAACTGTGCAATACTGATGACCAGTTGGTCAATACATGTTCTTAAGAAAACAGCCATACAACAGCTCCTGTACTCATATGTTTTGGTTGTTGTTTTTAATTGGTCTGAAATATGGGTTCCTTTTTCAGATGCTTAAAAGGGAAGTCAAGTTAGCACCAAAAATTTAGAGTCATAGCATATTTCAGGCACTGTATTGTGACCAATATAATTAAGGGACTTTACAATGTTTCTTAAATAGTCAGAGCTCAAAATAAAAAAACCAAGTTTGTTAACTTCCATGAAACTTAGCTGATAGTTCAGAGAACTACTGATGTCATCTTTAACCAGAGGTAACTGTTATTTTTTTCCCTGAGAACAACAGCTCTGCCAAATGTAAATTCACACTCCACAGTAATTTCTCTTAACATTTTCAAGTCACATTATCTCACTACAGTTTAAAACAAGAATGACCCAAACAAGCATCCACTGAAGTTTAAAAGATAGACTATTAGTGTTTACACAGCAGACTCAAGTGATTTACAAATGTCACCGGAAAGCAGACAGTTAGAGAAAGTTACAAAAATAAGAACTCCGAGTGTTTATAAAAATCATCATCAGGCATTATCTGGGGAGCACAAGCACTGACAGAAAATCAATGGCACTTCCAGTTCCTCAGCATCCCAGCTGAAAGCTGACTTCTTTTCACTCAAGTATGCACTGAGCCCAGAACCATAATCTAAGTACCCCGATCAGAAGCCTAAAATTACATTCTCTGAGTATTCCTTTCAGAGCCTAACATCTGCCAAGTTGACTAATACAACTGATGCTTGAGCTCCCAAAGAACATCACAAATGCCATCAATCACTATCTCTAGGGGTTTAGGAGCACTATGTTTTAAAACAAAGCAATGACTGCAGAACAGAGAGTCCTCAAAAATTCTAGATTACTTTAGCTCATGTAATTTAAAAATCAGGATACAAAACTGGAAGGAAAGACTGGAAACATTTAAACTAAAGAAGCAAAATTCCAAAAGTTTTAAACACCAGTCAGAGGCAAACTTCTGTAATAATGAACTTTAACATAATTTTACAGTATAAAAAAAATACAGTCATTGTATCCCTTTTAACATGAAAGGATCTACACATGCAGCTTTACAATCCATCCATTTTATGTCATGACCCCCACCTTCACAATGATGAAATATTTGCCTAAGAAAGCAGAATTGTTTAGAATTCAGCATCTGCTGAAGCAAATGCAATGCTCCTGTGGTAACTGACTGATTGCCTTTGAATAAAACAAATCCTCCTCCTTACCAGCTCACTTGAGGTGAAACTGCTAAAGTTGCACTCAAAGAAGTGTGTTGGGAATGCACTCTGGAGAAAGCACATGCAGGGAACTGTGGCCACACAGGGGAGGAAATCTGAATTTTTTCAGAAGTTTACACACAACCCCCAGCTACAAGGAGTCCACAGGGATATTTAAAACCATTGTTCCCTTGATGCTGTTTATGATCATGAAATATTTATGGCCCATATGTTTTTGAAATAATGTTTTATATAATCTTAGACCCTTAAATACATAATAAAACACTTCTGTGCAGAAAAAAAATTGATACCACTCCCATTAAAATACAATGACAATTATAAAACCTGAGATGCCAGCAACAAAACACACATTATTAAGCAGGAAGAATTCCTTTTCACTGAACCCATATATTGGCATAAAAATCCAACCTCTCAGAAAAAGAAAATTAGATAATGTTAACTTCATCACAACTCCAGAGTTTAAAATAAAACTCTTATTATCAAACCATGAAGAAGAAAACTTGTTTTCCTCATACAAGGTAACCAGACTTCTCTCAAAGCAACAAGTTCCCTCTCATCAGAATTTTCTCTTCCCAAATGCTATTCTGAGCTGAGAAAAGATTCTGAGCTAGGTTAAACTACTTACTTTCCATTCAGAACTGTCATTTCTCTTACACTCAGAATGAGCATTATATTACCTCCACAAAGGAACTAAGGCATGAGATAGCATGGTTAAGTTATAGTGGCTCAATGAGCTTCTTCAGTGGCTTAGAATTTGGTCACATCTTAAGAGTGGCCCTGACACAAAATCTGTTCTTCCCACCAAATTTCAAGGTTCTGTTCTAACATGCTAAGAAATTACAGAAAAGCTGACTAAAATTAAAAAAAAAATTTGATATATTATGCTTTCACCATTTGACTTGTTCTTGAGAACTGTTGTGACAGCTTGAATGAAATCTAAAATGGAAACAGGATCAGGCAGTGGCCCACATCTGCCAGGGAAAATTTCAACCCAAAAATAAACCATGAAGTTAGAAGTGCCAAAGGTATGCTCTGCCAGGAAAAAATGAGACTATTTATGGAGAGCTAGTGCCACCAGAGCTTTGGTAGTACCAGAAACATTACAGATTAAAAAAATGGGGAAGGGAAATCTTATATAAAAAGTGTAGATGGTGCTCCAATAAAGTAGGTATGAATAAAGCCCTGTATGCAGTAGGGTTAATGACAAAAGCATTCCCAGGAATCTGAAATCAAAGGGTGTAGCTTTTTATTTGTTTGGCTTTGTGGGTTTTTAAAATCCCACTAAATAGGTAAAGAAATTTTGCTTTTAATATCCATTCAATTCCACCAGAATACATCTGCACCAATGGATCATTTCCTACCTGTGTTCCCGTCCCCACTCTCCATCGATGGTTTACTGGTTTCTGACGGATTGTTCATTCTTGAGTCTGCACGAAAACAGAAAGAAAGATAAAACAATACAGCAAAAAATCCCCAAATCTGTTAGTACCTTTTTGTTCAAGGGAAGCACAGAACAGAAATTTGCTATGTACTTTACCCTTATTCAGATTTATAACACAAAAAAAAAAAAAGAACAAGCAAAATCAGAACGCAATACTGAATCTTCCAGATAAATATTATTTCAAAATTTTCTACGACATTATTCCCATATGTGAAAACATGGTATTAAGGGAATAAAAGACTGCATGCTGGAGGGCAATGATAGGTAGAAACTTAATTTTCAATACAATGAAAGTCATAGAAGAAAAAAAAGGAGGGGAGGAAGAAGGAACAATGATTACACCAAGATTCAAAAACATTAAGTCTGACCATCATGGCCTACATTATTCTTGTGTTTGCTCCCCCTGCCCCACCCCAACAAAAGAAAGGAAATTCAGTCATTATAATTAAATGGATGCCATTTTCCTAATACTGCATTTCTACTTTACTGGAATGTCACTGACATTAAGTTATTTTATATTTCCTATATATTCAGGCAAAACCATACAAACATAAAATAATTCCTCTTCTTTCTCCCTGTGGATGAATGCATTGAAAAGTCTGTTCCTGGTTTCAAAGCCTGTCAGCTGAATACAGTGCAATGCAGAGGGCCTCTCCAGATGGCAGACAGAGAATATAGTTTCCTTATATAGGAATCTATACAGATGTTCTGTGTACAGCATCAGCTTTCCAGCTTATTACCTCCTCATTCCTTGCCACCGACCCCAGTGTGCCACATTATCACAAACCAAAATTACAAAAAGAATCTCAAGACAGAGTAGCTCATAAAAAGAAGTGTAAGCAAATCCTTGAGCACGCTCTTCCATTCCCATAATGAGCTAAAAGCAACTTCAATGAGCTTAAAATGAACCCTTTACTCCAGGATATTCTCTCGCTAGGTGCTTAAAAGGTTACCTCTGTCATGTACTTTCATCAAAGCAGTGATTTCCAAAATACCAACAGGCTGAAGAAGAATACTGGAGCAGCATTAACTGTGCTGCATCTTTCCCCCAGACAGCTCCAAGAATGCCCAGACTGCCTGGCAGTGCATGAAAGCTGGAAATGAGAAGATGGACCACTGCCATGTGCCACCACCTGCTACTACAGTGCACAGGAGGGACAGGGACCTGCTGGAGTGAGTTCAGAGGCCACCAAGGGGGTCTGAGGGCTGCAGCACCTCAGCCATGGGGAAAGGCTGAGAGTTGGGGTTGCAGAGCCTGGAGAAGACTCCATGAAGGCTTTACAGCAGCCTCCCAGTACCTAAAGAAGCCTTCAAGAGAGCTGGAGAGGGAATTTTTAGAAGGGCATGTAGTGACAGGGGAGGAAGGCTTTAAACTGAAACAGGGCAAGTTTGGACTGGATATTAGTAAGAAATTCCTACTGTGAGGGTGGTGAGCCACTGGAACAGGTTGCCCAGAGATGTGGTGGATGCCCCATCCTGAAAGTTTTCAAGGCTAGTTTGGATGGGTTCTGAGCAACCTAATTTGGAGCAAGGTATCCCTGCCCTTGGCAGGGGGGTTGAGGGTTGAAACTGGATAATCTTTAAGGTCCCCCCCAAACCAAATCATTCTATGATTTTGTGATCAATATTTTTAAAACTAATATAATTTTCCACATGAACAATTGTGGCAGTTGAACCCAAGAGAGTCATGAAAATCCAGGACAGTAACAACCACAGAACTTCCCCTAACAAGCTAACACAACATCTCCAGAGCCTCAACTCTTCTCAGGAAGTTCCTATGCCTGTTCTTAAATCTTTCACATGTTCAGCCACACATAAAAGAGATCTGGACTATCAGGGTTACCCTTAGTATAAAGGCAGATGTGTTAAACTGCTTTTTGAAGGGGGGAGGCAATGAGGAGAAACTTTGCAGCTGAGTGCTGTTGGCCCACACTTCAGCAAGTTTTGCCCTGTGTTTTACAACCTCTCCTTAGCCCATTCAAGCTACAAATTCAGAGTCTTGAAAAACAAGAGTTCTGCTAAGGTTGCAGGTACAGAACCTATTGCTTCCAGGCTCCTTATTTTGCCATTTTCCACATGTGGATAGCATGATTCACACTCTAGAAACAGAACATGAGTCCCACTGACTATACAGAAATGTCTGCTCTTGACTTGGCCCTCTCTGCTGAGAGGTCTGTGTTTCTATCTAGACATTGCAAATATCTTAAATGGAGTTTATTGTTGTGGCAACAGCACATTTGTTTAGAGTGATTACAGGCAACATGCATTTGATAAGCGGCATTACTTCATTCCTTTACACACAGATGGCTACTGAAATTTCACTTTAGAGAACACCACATGGGAGTCCTTTGCTTTGGACATAAATATGAAGAGTCCTTATCCAACAGGAAAATGAGCAAAGAGTTCTTACAAGTCAAATACATTTGGTTGTGGAAACCAGGCTAATTCAGGAGGCTGCTGGACATAGGATGCAATTTTTAAGCCCAGAGCAGAAGAATAGCTTGAACTCAAGATACACCTGACCACAAAAGGGAAGAGCACAGGTTGGAAAGTTGTCTCTCAGAAACATAGAATCCATTTGCTGAACCACTTCAGAAAGTTTATGCTAGAAAAACAAGAGAGGCCCTCCTGTTGCCAGTTTGTAGCAGGAATTAAAATATTAGAGCCAAGGTGCAGGGTACTAATGATAGAATAAGCAAAACAAACTAAACCACAGCTGTCCTGTGCACAGAACACAAGCAGGGCAGTCACTGTTCTGTCCCATGAGCAAGCTCCCACAAGAAGCCTTCCTACATGAGCAAGTTTGCTCAGTCACACAAAGTTATAACTGCACAGACCTCTTTCCAAAAAGCAAGCCAGGACACGTGTTTCTGTCAGGCTATGCTGCAAAATACATCCTTCTAGAATAGGTTTTATACTACTAGTCATACACAAAGTTTACTTAACTACCAAAAGCCTGTCTAAATGAAGAATATTTTATTGTAAAGATCCATCCTTAACAAAGACCTCAAACATTGCTATAGAAAAAAGCAGCAAGTTGGAAGAAGAAACATCTTTCCGGTAGCGCTCAGGTTCAAGAGAAGGATAGCATCCATTATTTCACCAGCTGACTATTTCTTGTTCAATCTGTGGGCCTTCTGCATGTAAAGCATCAAGAACAATGCAGCTATTTCCATTGCAAATGGTATGACATCCATCTGAAGCACAAAACTGCTACCAGCAAAACAGGCTCGTATCCGCGGGATACTCAGCCACCGATTCATTCTGTGTCGAATAAAAAGGCTACTTGGTTTATATGTGCTCGTGCAATTTCTGCTTCAAACTTAAAAGAATAAACAAATGAAGTGGGCTAAAAAAACCCCAAGCCTTAATGCCTTCACCTTTTTTTCTTCCTTTAGATCTTCCTTGGGTTTTAAATAAAGGCCCTGGGCTACAACTTCTGCCAACATTATCTAAAAACAAACTCCCCAGAAGGAAGGATCGAAAGCAGCAGGTGCATGATTGAAATCAAACTCTCAGGAGTGAATACATTCCATGCTGCTACTCTGCTAGCAGGGCTGAGGTGTCACAGGCAGTGCTGTGCCAGCCTTTCACACACCCTCAGGAACATTTCCAAAGGCATTCAGGGGAAAGAAGCAGTGGACACCGGACCAACCTGAAGCGTTATAAAGACTGCACACAGCTGGCAAAGCAAAGAAAATCTTAACATGGTATATACCATTAACTGTTTCCTTTCACCCGTTAAAGTGGAACTGCCTAATATTCCATTTGCACCAGCAACAATGATTCATTTATGTGCATGGGAAAAATAAAGTTTAATGTGAGTGAAAACATGACAGGAATTTTTTAGAAACTCATTTTCAAAAACCACATCATATTGAGAAACAAACATACTCAAATGTCTGCTTTAAAATTTACCATTAAAAAATATTCTTTTACTTAGAGATATAAGTTCTTACATGAACTTATATGATAGAATGAAAAGAGTAATAATAAATATATATATATATATATATATGTGCACACACACACACATATATATACACACATATATATATATAGATATGCATTGAGCTTCGGGGGGAAAAGCCTTGAAAATAAATAAAGCTTATTGTAAAATTGAGATGATTCATTACTATAAATAACTTTAAAAGACACGAAGAAGGAATTATGGCATGTCTGCTCTGCAGTCCTGATGGAATCTCAGCGCAGGAAATATATTATCCCAGTAACCTTAAGCACAGCTTGCAACGGTATCAATGGCAACCACTGTGCACTCCCCCTTATTTTCTATTACACACGAAGAACCTTGCTATATTAAAAACACACAGACATAACATACATTCTGCTGTGGAATGGCTCGATACAGTTACTAAATTCCTTCAACACTTAGGCTCCCTCTCATTCATTTTAATGCTTTAAACTGCATAACACACAGATATGCAAGTCAAGCCCAGTGTTTGTTAGAAGGCAAATGCTTCTCAGACTGAAATCCTAAAAGCAAAAGGTCTGTATTAATATCACCCAAGTCTGTGCAAAGGAAACAAATTCTCCTGGAGCCAGGGAAAAGAAGGCAAACAAGCAAACGAACGAACAACCCAACCAAAGCATGTATTTCCCTGGTACAGAGCGAGCTATCCAGCTAGCAGGCAGCTTTTGCTGCCGATGCACTGGCGAGCTTCAGCCCCACAAATACCTTCTGCATATGTGATGAAGCCTCTATGCATAGGCAATCTCCCAGCCCCGGTGTCCACAAGAAAGAGCTGAGCTGGTACCCACCTAGAACGTAGTCGCTGCAGTCCAGCATTGCTGTGGTATCCTCTACAGGTTCAGATAGTCCAAGGAACGGGAGAATGGCAATTTCTATCAAATCTACACTACTGCTCTCACTGAACATGAAAGGGAGTGGGGAGGTGGGGGGAGAAATACAACTTCAGTTACACCATAGCAATCTTCAACTGAACGGGGAAACTTCAGTTGCTGTGTGGAGTTTTAGTCTCTCCTACTAGCTGTGTCTGACATTGTCAAGGCGACTGAAGCGTGAAAAGTTCCCCTTTTTGTAATAAAATAGAAACAAAGATTGCAGCTGGCAGTTTCCATAATGAAGCTTAATCAGTATGCGCCTGATTAGGGCCTTATGCAAATCTCCTCTCGTTAGCACAGCAGCCAGCACTTTGAAGTCCATGAACAATTCATTTGCAGAGTACACTGAAAGCGCTCCCTGCATAATTTAAATCACGGTATAAATATTTATCAGCTCATTTGCATATTAATTGGCAGTGCATGAAGGGAAAAATTATCTCCCGAGTGCCAGCATAATAATTAGGGAACAAAATGAATTTTCTTCCAATAGCTTGGCTTCTCAGCCCTAACTCAAGCACAGTACCACAGGGGATCAGGGAGGGGAAGAGACAGAGTTCTGTTCAAATGCCACTGAAATGACACGTACAAATTAGAAACAACTCTACAGACTTAAGCACCTTTAATCTTATTCCTGCTGGCAACAATAACATCAGTAATAAAGGGGATTTGGAAAAAGCTTTCCACACAATCCAAATAATCCCACGAAAACAATTAGCAAGGTAGAAGCTGAACACAAAGCTGTCAAGCCTCGCACATCTGCGTGGAGTTTTCCACACGCGAACACGCAGCGGCTCAGCACGGTCCCGGGCAGGGAAGGGAGCCCTGCCAGGGCAAGGAAGTGGCACGATTCCCTTTAAACGGCTAAAGAGCTTGGTGATTCATTATCGGGTAATCCCTTTGCCACGGCCAACTTAGCAGCAGTGGATATGTCAAGTATTGTGTAACATTTGACACCCATTAATCTATCCCGAGTGAAATCAAAATAGATTTAGTCTTTTGCTTTCCAATGACTTGCGAGAGAAAAAAAACCCAAAAATCTATTAGTAATCCCTTCAAGCATGTACACAATATGGCTAAAGAAAGCTTATTTGCAGAGCTATGGTTTTTCAAAGGGGCACGTCACACCCACGTTGCATCTTTGAAGCGCTCGGTGATATCCAGAACGCGCTTGCCGCTGTGACCACAAAGTACACTGGAGAAGTGAGAAGAGGCTTTGGTCTATGGAGAAATCAATCTTCTTTTCCAAAAGTGGTCCACAGAAGTAAGTGGACTAACTATGAGGCTCTATTAAACCATTTCAAATAGTTTGTTTGCCACTCAAAAACTCGTGTCCTAAACAGCAAGAACATTTTTATATAAATTCAAGCATGACGTGGCCATCACAAAATTTATTACTCCATATTCTGATCAGGAAAAGATAGTATGATGATGCAGATGATTATAATGTTGAGCCACCCACTTCCAGGTGCTAATGTGAATTTAAAGAGTAAGTTGTTGTGTTTTTTTTTCTTTAAAAATACCGTAGCTGTACTTTTCTTCTCCTCATTTCTCAAGTGAATTCAAGCACCACCTCTACAAACAAGAGGGAGTGAGAGAAAAGGGACTTCTCAATCATCCAGTACTGACTGGAATTTATTTCCACGCTTGACCTCTTCTTCTGTTCAGGTTCATATCTCTACTTAACACAAGATGTTCCCAGCTATATATTTAACATGAGTGATCTACACTTGAAAAAGATTGCATGAAGAGAGGGAGAAGGTGCTCCCTACTACAGGGAGACAACTGCATGTGCTGAATAGGTTTTCCTAACACCTGGTTTTCTACTCACTAATATGTCCCACTGAGACCTCTGAGGCACACATTCATGGTTCACAGACCTTCAGTAAACTTCACTCCTGCACACATACTTTTGGAGTGCACTGGAGATAATCCGTTTGCTTTATTGGAAGAGCCTGGACACCAATGGTGGAGCAATCCAAGCAGTTGGCAAAGCAAGGGGCTGAGCAGAGCAGGGGAGCAGGAGAGCAGAGCAGGAGAGCAGGAGAGCAGAGCAGGAGAGCAGAGCAGGAGAGCAGAGCTCTCCCCAGAGCAGAGAGGGCTGGCTGGTGGGGCACAGGTGCAGCCCCGCGCGTGCAGGAAGCGAACGTTGGAGTCGGGCACGCGTGCGGCCATGGCTGATCTGCTCACAAACATCAACCCCCACACAAACCTTCACTGGAGCTCCAACACCCACTAACAGCCTCACTGGAGTCAAAAATTATTGTTAACAGCCTCACTGGAGTCAAAAATTATTGTTGTGTTCACCTGTCATACTAACAACTGGCCAAAAAATAGAAGACAAATAAACAAAAGCTCTCCCCAAACCAACCAGCCAACCAAAACCAAACAGCACAAAAAACCCAAACCAAACGGTTCTTTCAGTGACCACTTCATTCTTTGACAATTTTATTGTCTTAGCTCTTATCTAAGCTCATAGAACCGTAGAAGGGTTGGGTTGGAAGGGACCTTAATGATCAGGCAGCTCCAGCCCCCTGCCCTGGGCAGGGACACCCTTCACTAGACCAGGTTGCTCCAAGCCCCATCCAGCCTGGCCATGACCACTTCCAGGGATGTTGCATCCACTTTTTGTTTTGCTCTAGTTTTTTTGTGTTTGTTTGTTTAAATTTACCATTTAATCTCTGCTCTAGTAGAGAAAGAAAATGTCTGAGGAGGAATGGTGCCTATCATTCTGCTCCAAAACCAGTGGTGGAATACATTAGTTTAACGCTCTCTTTAGGTTCTGCCACAACACTGCCCATTCTTTTCTTTCTGGCCACTTATTAAAAGTTACTTAACATCCTGAACTAAGGACATACTTCTGGTACTCATGTTTAAGCAAAGCAGCACTCTGGGCCTTGCTCGCATTTTTCCTCCAAAGGCACGTCTTGAAGAGAAAATGCTGCACTTTGTGATAAGTAAAAAGCTTGCCACATCCCATGAAACTACAGATTTCTCAAAAAATGTGTCTCTCCTCTTTAGCCAATTCTACAGTTTTTACAACAATGATTTTTCCCCCATAATCCAATTCAAACTCTTCCTAAAAACCAAAGGAACTAACACAGAGCCAGGTATGACACAGGCAGATTTTCTTCAGCCAGACACTTCAGAACTTGCAGATGACATTTCAGGAGACTCTTTCTACCCCATTCTCTTCTTTCGTCACTTTCTATGTATTTTCCACACCATACCACTTCAAATGAATGTCTTCCTTTTGCACTCTGCCCCACAAGTATGTCACTTTCTTTATTCAGTTATAATGACAATGCCTGATTCCTTAAGAACTCTGGTTTTGGAGAGGGAACATCATTTTTACCTGTAGACTATGCAACTCTTGGTTTTTTTTTATGGATGTGTTTCCATATATTACTAAAATGTCATTTACTACATGCCCTCCATGACAGCTAAGAAATTTCTGCCCCTATCCAGCTCAGTGACAAGCATGACCTTTGCAAACTTCAGGGCTGCACTTTCTGATGAGATTACCCAATAAGCCAACTCATTATTTCCCTTTTAAACAGTGGAGTGCAAAGGAATCCATACAAATGGAGTACAAAATACAGGGAAAGGAAATAACTGCAACATTAGCATGATGCTTTCATTAGTGTATCAATGCTTAGGACATTCTACCTTGGAGGTACTACATTGTAACTCAAGACATTTCCAAGTCTCCATCCCACAACCCAAGGGAAACCTAAAAAAAAAATTCAAAAAACAGAACCCCAATATGTTATTAAAAAAATTGTAAAAATCACATACTTCAACAAAATGAACTGTTATTAAAGTTGGCACAATCCTCTTAGAGTAATTATGGACAGACAGCAGTCTGTTCATAGCTAGGGCTGCAAGCTAACTCTAATTTTAGCCACCACCTTTGACTGTGGCTAACAGAATTGATTTTATCTGAAAATTGGTAAGTTTGCTCTGAAAGCCAGAAAGAGCAGTTGTCTGGAAAAGTCAAATAAAATTGGCCTGGTTTAGACTTACCAGTCATTAGGCAATTGCTATGAATTGGAATTTTAGTCTACATCTAATTTTACTTCCCACAAACTCAAATCATAACCATCCTTTAAAACTTTCAACCACACAAAATGCCTTTCAAAATTCCTTTGTGTACATTTTTGAAGGAAATTAAGCATGTGGAGAGCTAAGCAGGAATGCTAATTTATCTTATCAGTGCAAGACAGCAGATACTTGTAAGCACCTGATACATTAATAGAAAAGGGTTTGTTTGTGGGTTTGGTTTTTTATGCAACTTATTTTTGTCCACAGAAGGTAGCAACTACCATGGATTAAGTCTTTTTTTTCATAGAAAGAAAACTGTGTTGATGACAAATTTACAATACCACCACACAAGGAGGGAAGAAGAAAGGGGGGCAGTGATATGATGAGAGAAATAAAATAAATATCCTTATTGAAAAAATATAGAATTATGATGTCCACAAGCAAACAGCCTTATTTGAAACTCACAGTTAATTCTGCCACTCAGGAGAATCACCTGAACACTTTGCCCTACCCTCACTGCCTACAAACCATGGCATGTAAGAAGGCATCCATATTACATTTACATTAAAGTTTTTCTTCCATCCTGTTGAATGTTTTCTTTCCAATAGCAAAGGATACAAATTCAGTGCAGTCAATCCTTGTTATCTAAGTAAATGTTATTGTCATAGCATTTACTTAGCATTTATAGAATATTTTGAAGAGCAGTAAAGGTTAGGTCTTTACATGTCCTGAATTAAGCTCTCCTGCTCCACTCATTATGATTTCATGACTATTTCAGAATGGCTTGAAACTTTTCTTTCATGTTGTTTTTAGTGGGGTTTTTGTTTATTTACATGCATCATAAGCACTGACTCCAGGAACTAAATTCAAGAACCAACCTGAAGTGCCACACCTTTGAAAACCAATTTGTGTTTAACTACCATGTTCCACCTGCCACAGAGCTGTTGCACATTTGCACATTTGATTGTCTTCAGGGCATTCACCTCCTTCCAATTTAACTTGAAGTTAGCACACAAAATGAACAAA